TTTGTCCCTAAAATGGTTTTAAAAAAATTAAAAACAGCTTTTATTTTAGCCAAAATAAAACAAATATTACTTTTTCCAGGAAAAAATACTATCAGACATACTGTGAAAATTTCCTTTCTCTGTTAATCATTTGGAAAATATTTTAAAAAGAAGAAAAAAATTTGAAGGGGGCTAATAAAGTTTAAAGCTGTTCATGTTTCTGTTTGCATCCCCATAATGGCATGTAATATTGTACTCGTATAAATTATGAAAATAAATTATTACCTCTAACAGTGTATTTTATGGGACCACAAAATAAACAATAGAGCATTATTTGAAAAGATAGACTTTTTATTTTGTCCATATGATGTATATTATCATATTGCATTGCCCTATTTACAGTCTCTTAAAGTTCTGGTTACTAAAAGTTAAAAAGCTCTTTTTTTATTTATAAATACAGTCATACATTTACAATGTATGTACTCTATTATTTAAAAGTTAGGGGGTCAGTAAGGGATTTGTCTAATTTATAAAGAATACACTAAATTGATCAAAAGTGGAATTTTGTTTGGAACAATGTAAAAGTCTTTACTATTGCAAATAAATGATGTTATTTATTTTTCATTTTTCAAATATTTAAGAAAGCACATAGATAGATTTTTAGCAAAAGTAAATTTTTTCGACCAGGATTTTTTGAGAGATTTTTTTTTCTTTTCTTTTTTTTTATTTCTGGCATCAATTATGTTATATTTTATTAAAAACCTTTCTAATCTTTATTTGAAGCAATAATGAGATGAGTTTAAAGTAAAAATGTTTATTAAAATACTTTTTTGTCTGTTAGGTGTTTACTTTTGCTTAATTTTTAATTTTTATTTTTTGTAGTGTTTTAGATACCTCCTTAGAAATATCATTATAGTCATTTAATATAGGAAATAAGCACATGCAGCTCCTAATAGAATTGTTCACAAAGCATGTGATTCCAGGAATATCAATCCTTGTGCTGTTCCTTGTAATCATCAATTGCTACACACAATCCCAGCCAACTGAAATGCATAGTTTTTAAGTATTTCTTAATATTTCCAGGTAATTTCTTTCAAATCCTCTCCTTAATCCTAATTCCTTATCTCCCGCCTGAAGTGGTATGTGCCCTCACACGTGAGTCGGATTCATGCCAGGAGCTTAATCCTCATACTGGAGCTCAGCATGCGGGCCATCTCTCCTCTGGGGAAAGACGCTCCCACGCTTCACTTGCCGGGTCCCACAGGCCACAGAGTGCACTGCATATTTGGAATAGTCAGAGGAAGGGAGAAAAAGTAGGTCTGCTGTAGGGTGGGGTGCAATGCGAGTCCCCCTTCCTCTAACTCGCATCAATTGCCACTATAATGGCTTTATGTTAAGCATTACCCTACTAAAGACATTATGCTAAACACCTCTAATTGTGTTAGTTATGCACATTTAAGCGGTTAGGGAACTTTGAACCCTAACTTGGGGCAAACAGCCGTCCCCACAGGGCTTGGCAAAGGCAAACTCGCAGCTAAATGTTTCTCATTCCAGAGATGGCAGCTGACCGCACCAAATGTAGGTCAACTTGGAATCGGCAATTGAACTGAGTGCATTGTTTGACACACAGAGCAGTTTTGTGTATTTGCTAGATTGGGATTGATCCAAGTACTTTGCAATTTTATTGTACATGACAATATTAATGCCGCACCATCTACTTTGATAGCAAATTATTACTATTTTTTGCAGTTATTTCCTCTGCTGTGAAACCACAGTTCAACACAGAAAAGTCAGAGGTGTTGAATGTGCTTAAAGGGATAGTTGACCCAAAAATGAGCATTTCCTCTTATACTCACACTCAAGTCATTCTTAACATTTCAGTTCCTTTCTTTTGTAAAACGTGAAACAAGATCTTCAGAAAAATGCTGACAAAAAGCAGCGATTTATAATAAACAAAAATACAGTGGAAGTCAATGGCTGTATTTTTCAACATTCTTCAGTTTATCTTTGTGTTCAGCTGAAGAAAGAAACTCAAACCGGTTTGGAAGGATGAGTAAATTATGACAATTTACATTTTTGAATGAACTATCTCTTTAAAGTGATAGTTAACCTAAAAATGTCAATTTGCTGTTTAATGTACTTGTCCTCAGTAAAGAAATACTTAAAGATGTACTAAAAGATTTGTAGCTGATACTTCAAATTCAAGTTACAACTACCAACACTTTTTTCCCACTTTTATTTTTATTTATTTATTTATTTATTTATTTTTTACAATAAAAACAGTAATTTAACATATAACTTAACATTGTTACAGATAGGGTTGTTGCGATACCATTAAATGACGTTACGATACTGAGGGCTGGGCGATTTTTTTCGATTAATTTGAATTTACGTTTTGACGAAGATTTAATTTTATATTAAATAGAGAAATCGCAATTTTTTTTTCTTCAATATTTGATACATTATAATGGTACCAATGTGCTTTGGTTCACTCTCTGTATGAAGCAGGTTGCACACTACAAGTGCCCCTCGGTGATGCGCCACGCAGGACCACGCAGCGCCATGGATTTTAGTATTCTAAACAGGTTGCTATATACACAGGCGCCACCCAGCCACGGTTCAGGACGCAGTTCACATTTCAACTGCACCACAGAGCACCATCTGATTAGTTTCATATTAAATATCATGCGAATGTGTGCGTCTGGTGTGTGATACTTTAAACTGTCATGTGCATCACACATCTGGTGTGTGACTTGCTTGACTGTCTGTTAAAGCGTGAAGTCATGTAGGATTTTACTTGTTGCATTAGTCTGAGTCCCGTCTGGATTGTCAAGACATAGTCCCTCATCAAGTCGATAAACTCGATCTCAACATGTATGAAGGACGTAAAAACCTGCCATGTGAAAACCGTGCCGTTCTTAGTTCGAATGGCGCTGATATTTTGGTTCGAACATGAGCAGAGGTGAGCAGCAGCTGTAGCAATGAAAATGAAAGTACCCGTTCCCATGACATCATTTAGCGGACCTACAGATCAGGCAGGATAATACAGAGTGGTGCAAAGCGCATGAAATGATCAAAATTAAAAAGGGGGAAAAAGAAAAATATATTTTATATTAGACGTACACATCTGGTGCTTTTATTTGCTCCTGCTATACGTCCACATCTTCACAGATTGGGTTAAGTTAAGCAGGTCGCACACCAGAAGCGCCGCTCGGCGGCGCGCCGCGCAGCGCCATGTATTTTAGAATTCTAAACATAGGTTTCTATCAGGATACACACACCGGCGCCGCAAGTCGGCGGCTGTCGGCGGCGCCCGGCGACGGCTCAGGACGCAGTTCATTTTTCAGCCGCGCCACAGAGCGCCATCTGATTAGTTTCATGTTAAATAGCATTCGAATGTGCGCGTCTGGTGTGCGATACCTTAAACTGTCATGTACGCGCCGTGTCGCGGCGCCGAGCGGCGCTTCTGGTGTGCGACCTGCTTTAGGCTTCCATGTTCCATGTTCAGTCCTTTATTTCCACTGTATCTTTTTAAGTAAAAGGCAGCTGCATTACAACCTGTCATTCAATCGAATGACAAAGTCAAAGCCGAACTGACAGACAATCTTTCCTAGGCTCAGCAAAACTTTCAAAAAATACCTCCGTATTTCTGCAACTGCAATATTTACACAAATATTTTTTATTCAAATCTTCTGCAACAATATTTAACTCGTGAATTTGTTTTACATTTCTTTACTCCTTGTTGATCAATTTATGTATGGCATAGCCATTAAAAATACAATGTTCCTTAACCAGATGTTTTTTTTTTTTTTTACTTATAAAGAGAATGTTACTTCAGTCATGTTGTTGCTATGTTTTAAGTTGACTAGTTACACAATAAAAAAAAATCAAAATCGTGAACCGGTCAAACTTTATAAAAAATCTAGATTTTTATTTATTTATTTATTTTTATTTATTTTTTTTTTTTTTGCCATATCGCCCAGCCCTAACGATACTGTACCAGCTGAAGTATTGTGACAAACAAATACTATAGTATTTGTATATAGTATATAGTAATAGTCCAACAAAATTAAGCTATATGAAGTGGTCAAATAGTTTCAGTGTTTCCTGTTGCTCTTATGGGTTTTTCATAATTTTTTTTTGTTGCGGTTGTTGTAGCTACTAAATCATATTAACAGGAACTAAAATAAACTGATTCAAATATGCTTTCGAACTGAAGCGTCAGAAAACGTGCAATAAGCTACCATAAAAGGCGTAAATTTTACGCAGTTTTGCAACCTTAAAGGCCTCTACAGACTATTGAAGCAAAATGGTCTATTGTTGCACAAACTTGTGAGCATTTTAGTGACTTTTTCACATGCAACATTGTTTTGTAGACAGACCACTAATGATGATACCACCGTTTACAAAGTACAGTGGCACCGCAGTATTTTGGAGCTATAGTATCGTGATACTACCATAGTACTGGTAAATTGTGCAACCCTAGTAAAACGTATATCAATATGCACATACATAATTACCTATACAGTGCTCAGCATAATTGAGTACACCCCATTTTTAAAAGTAAAGTAGTCATTTCTCAATTAAAATTTTCCTCTTTTTAAATTTGTATTTAATATTTTTTTATGACATATTTGGATGTACTAGTTTTTGGACCGTTATCGTTAGTTTTTCCTGTTAGATAAGCTCCAGATTTGACTTCAGTACTGAATAATCTAATGTATATGCACAAATATAATACTGAATAGCTTCCTATTAAAAATATGAATTTAAAAGATAGATTTGTGAGGGGTGTGTTCATAAACGTATACAGAACACTGTATTTAAACCACATAAACCTGCATGTAGTATAAAAAAACTACCAGCACTTTAAATCACATTTAATTAGTCAAAATAATCACACAGCAAAGATTAAATTAATGCCATACCTCCTGACAAAACATTACTAATTTTGCCAATGTGACCATACCTTTGTACATACCCAATTTATATTTTATTCTAAAGTATGACATTTTTTTTAGGATCGCAAGTTGTCCAAGTCAGAGCGGCAGCGTTTTAAAGAGGAAGCTGGAATGTTGAAGGGTCTTCAGCATCCCAACATAGTACGCTTTTATGACTCCTGGGAATCATCCTTGAAAGGGAGGAAGTGTATTGTCTTGGTGACTGAACTCATGACATCTGGGACACTCAAGACGTAAGTGCTCTTATTTGTTCCTGTCAGTATTGTTTTTAACTACGCTCTTTAGCCCACCTGCAATGATTGACATTTTTTGTGCCCTTGTAGGTATCTAAAACGGTTTAAGGAGATGAAGATCAAAGTCTTGCGCAGCTGGTGCCGGCAGATTTTGAAGGGCCTACACTTCCTTCATACCAGGTCACCACCTATCATCCACCGGGATCTGAAGTGTGACAACATCTTCATCACTGGGCCTACTGGATCAGTCAAGATTGGAGATTTGGGCCTTGCGACCCTCAAGAGGGCCTCCTTTGCTAAGAGCGTCATAGGTACGGCTAAGTATTAACAACTCCAAGTTGAAATCTGTTTGAACTGCCTGATTCTGATTTGTGGTTGGGGGGAAAGAAAGTCCTTCATTTCATGTTTCTTTTTCAAGTTTCTTTTCTTCTTCTGCTTCTTTTCAAAGCGCGTTTTAAAAACAGTGGTGAGAAAGCAGACCACAGCGTTTCCCTGACCGCTCAAACCTCAGTAAACCAGGGCTCCTGCTATATGGAAGTTGTCTCTTGACACCCTCCTTTTAGTTCAAACATAGTTTTTTTCTCCTTTCTTCTGCCCTCATTGCAGCAATTACAGGTACCCACAGACAAAGTAAGTAGTTGTGAAGCGGTTGTAGGTATTTTGTGACTCGTCTGGAGGGAAACCTGATCTGATCATGGGATAACACTAGAGCTAGAGCTGAGCCCTGGGCTGGCAGGTACCGTGAGTGATCTTTTACTCTGGTTCGGAAATTTGTGGTCTGTTTCTTCAGTCAACAATGATTTAATGATGATGATGCTAATGAATCTGTTCATTTTTCCCCCCACAAGGAAATGCTTGTTTTCTTTCAGTGTGTCAGTGTCTGGAGCTCAAAGCTTAAACTCTCTGCTCATCTCCCTCATACTTTTAGCTTTGAGATCTTTTTTGTTTGTGTTTTTTTGTTTTGGAAGCCTTAGGCTTTAACTTCAGGTCTCCCCTTATTCTACTTAAGGATTATTTAGTGTACTGCAGTACAGACAGTAAGTACGCAGAAATGAGCCTGGTAAGTCCACCAGTATTATGTGACATATCAGTCTGAATCCATTATAAATGTGTTAAGTTTGTCGGTGTGAGACCTTTGTCAATGGGTAATTTGGTTACTAGTTCACCTGGTGCACAGAACCTCACTTTTTGCTAAGCTATGGAGTGTATCACGTTTGCATTGTTTAACCTTTTCTCTTTACAGGTTAACCCAAAGGTAGGACGATTTTGAAAGGTTTATGTTTTCCATAGCTAGTGCTTCAGTTTGGTCTTGTGATGACAGCCCTCTGACCATGGACTCGCTTTAAACTTCCTGTTTAGGCTAAAAAGTACAAATAAGTTATATATTCATTCTACTTTTTAGAGTCATGTGGTCAGTTCAGGCTATGGAGTGAGTCCTGTGCACCAGTTTGGTTTTTCACATACACATTCTTGCCCTTGAAGGTCTTACACAGAGAAACTTGGGCTTTTTATCATTGCAGTCTAACTGAGGGCAGTTTCCCCTTCCTCTTTTTTTTTTTTTTGTTTTTTTTTTGTTTTACTCTCTATCCCCCTTTTGCTCTCCTTCCCTCTACCTCTCTCTATTCTCGCAGGTTGCTCCGAAGCAGTCTTCAGCGACAACATCATCTTCCTCTCACCTCTTCACAGAGAGGGTGTAATTGGGTACTGAGAGAGTTCTGAACCATTCTTTTAATTTAAGGTACCCCTGAGTTCATGGCGCCTGAGATGTATGAAGAGAAGTATGACGAGTCGGTGGATGTGTATGCCTTTGGGATGTGTATGCTGGAGATGGCTACTTCTGAGTACCCGTACTCCGAGTGTCAGAATGCAGCTCAGATCTATCGCAGAGTCACCAGCGTAAGTCCACATTTCACTGGCGGAGGAGAGAGTCCTCGTGCACTCATCCTCCCCCTTGTTTGCTGCACTGTTTTAGTTTTTTATCACTTTTTGCCCTCTGTGGGGTGTTTCCTTTCTGCTTTTTTCTCACAAAGTGGTAAGTCGGGTTTTTTACCTTTACCAGTAAATCTTGAAGTCATGGTCTCTTACAAAACCAATAATGTTCGGAATAAAACAACCTAATTGAATCAGACCGTAAAAGCCTGTTCACAACCCCGAAAACTATATAGCCACACCAATCCATTATAACAGTCTTGTTTATTATAAGTGCATGCTAGGGCTAGGCGATTTAATAGAAAAATAAATTGAAATTAACATTAAGAATCTATAATCGATTCAGCTTTTTCAGGTCCATTTTTTTTAATTACAGCGTATGGAGTCATGTGACCCAACGGTGTTAAGGCTGATACTTGTGCATCGAACGCATGGATATGGTCCAGCGCAGCCTTCGCGATCTCGTCAATATCGTTTGCACTATATCGACGATAATTGGAAGCTGTGCCAAAGATGCCTTGAGATGGCATATTTTCTATTATCATGTTTAATAAATAATCATAGTGCATGTTTTCTTCAATTATTTTAAAATCAAGTAATTTACCCTTCATCAAAAATCTCTCACTTGTAATATGAGAGCATATTTACCGTACAAGACTTGGTAGTAAACTGTGAGGCCTGTGAGGTTTAGTATTGTTTCGGTCTTTCATCCACAACATGTTAACATTATTTAATGCTGTTGATGACTTTTAATTGTTAGAATATTTTTATAATTATAGAAAATTGGTGTTTATAAAACGTGATAAACTTGATCTATTTTCTTTTTGCCATGACATAGCCATAGAAGCTGAAATGGCAATAAAATTAAAACTCTCTCTCTCTCTCTCTTCTTTTTCTCCCTCTCTCTCTCTCTCCTTTCTCTCTCTCTCTCTCTCTCTCTCTCTCTCTTTCTCTCTCTCTCTCTCTCTTTCTCTCTCTCTCTCTCTCTGTTATCGTCGTTGCCCTAAAATAAATCTTTTGGATAACGGGGTACTGTGGAAATATCTCTAAACATTGCCCCTCGCATAGCTGTGTTGATAAAAAAAATGGTTGACAAAAACGCCAAGATGTGCATAAATTTTGAAAATGTGCATAACTGAGTAGGATAAACCTTTTATTCTATAAGAAAAGATGCGCATAAACTACGATAGAAACTCTTTTACCAAGCAAATTCCAAGTCATGATTTTATTATAAGAGATTTTTTGCTGATGAAAACGTGTGCAAATGGACAAACCAGTTGACTGACCGCATTGTAAAATATCTAAAATGTTGTTTTTCCCTTCTAAAACACCTTAACCAGTTCAGTATTGGTGTTATTATATTAACAATTACCTCCAGAATAATCTATTCATATAATAATGTATTCAGACACCACCACATGTTCATTGCATGTCAGCATTCTGTCTTAGGGCATGACAGCATACTGAGTGAGTAATTTATTAAATAAAAAAAAAAGATTCACAAAACTTGTATCGCAGTAAATTTTTTTGCTTATGATATTTGACATCAGTAATCAGGAAGTGATCATATTGTTCTCCTTGACTCATTGGATAGAAACGCTGCTTTATTCGCACCTCTTATGCGATATTAGCGCACAAAAGACAGTATAGTAGCACATACATTTAATTTGCATTTTTGGATGGAAGCATAGCTAATGACATAATTTTAAAATGTGACCAGGGGCTTGTACCTTGAAGTTAGATTAGATTTAATTTTAGGTACCATAAAGGTAGCTTAGCTCAGATGCTCCATAATCCAAATGGCAACAAAGAGTGATTAAATCCGAGCTGCTTTCGCGTTACCTAAAATTGGTGTAAAATAAACTGAAATTTAAATGTCTAGCCAGCTAATCCAGCATCATGGTACATATCCCAGACATAGGAGAAACAATAATAGTGGATTACAGAGCTGTGTTTGTGTTTCAGGCTCTGTTATATTTATTAGTACTATTACAACAAAACCTGCTAATGCTGCATTAACTGTACGACCAACAGAAACGCATTAACAGTTACCAGTTACACTCTTCAGATATTGTTAGACACTGTTTATGTCTGTACTCAGTTTGCTGAAGTAGGACTTTGTGTGCTCATTGCATTCTTCTGTGATTTTTAGGTTATCCAGCGATTATGCTGTTTTTTTTTTTTTTAATAGTGTCACATATAGGTGGCATAAATATTAGACCTTTTTAACCCAGTTTTTCTGTTTCCAACACAGACATATTTTTGCATGTAAGGACAAATTGAATGAAAAATTTTTTTTTTGCAATCTACAAATGAAAGAAACACGATTGTTGCAATTTGGACATAGTCATATAATTGGTAATGACTGTGAATGTTTTTTATGGATTATTAGAAGAATTGGAAGAAATTATTTAAAAGAATTTTTGCTATTTTATAGTAGTCTGGACATCTGGACTGTTAAATTTAGGGTGCGTTTATGCCGGACAAGTGTGAATCTACTGATTTATCTCTTGTTACTTTCATTCATGCATGCAAGACTAGGGAATGTTATCTGAAACTTGGTCTCAAGTTCACTTCCAACTGAACCGTTGCAATTTCAATTAATTATAAAAACAAAAACAGGTCACATGTTTAAATGAACCAAAAACAGGACATGATGTCACAATTAGGACAATAAACATGACAGAATCCTCACGCAAAACTGTTGCTTGTGATCATAGTCATGCTGTTGCCTAATTCATGCGTTGGGAAATGCATCTATGCAGCAGATCTTCAATTGTGTATATCAGTGGTTCTCAAACTTTTTTCATCAAGTACCACCTCAGAAAAGAATTGTCCCTTCAATTACTACCATAATGAGCAGAATTGAAATACAGTAGCGTAGTAGGCCCAATGAAGCAGCGACAGCACTGCACAGTTCAAAAACGAGGCAGATTAATTTCTATTATTAAAAATAGTTATTATTGTCAGCCACTTTAAACATTATAAATAGTTTGAACAATAACACTTAACTGTGCTTGTATGTAAAAGACAAACAAGCAAGCAAACAAACAAAAATAAGAATAAAACGACAACGTTTAAATTAAAATATGCTTTTAAAAGTAAAAAAATGAAAGTTTACTGTTCTTAAATGTGAAGCATTACCATTGTAGCCAATTCATCAACACCTGGAAATTTGCCTGGAACTTAGAAATATAGGCTATAAATGTCATCATATTTATATATAAATAATTTTTGATAAATTTTGAAATATATGTAGCATGTACATATGACATTTGATTTCTCCACGTACAACTAGAAGTAAGCCCACTTATCACTAGTGGTACATGTACCACAGTTTGAAAACCACTGGTGTATATAATTGAGGGGATTCCTGCTTCTTTATTAGCTTTTCATTTTTAATAGTTGTGTTCACAAGTACTCAACAAACTGTGCGTGCTATGTACACGTATAAAAGAAACGCATTTTTCACTGTTATCAACATCCAGTTGTTCCAAACCTGTTTAAGTGTCTTTTTTTCTGTTGAACACAAACTAAGAAAATCTTAAGACTGTTGGAAACCGGTAGTCATTGACTTCCACAGAAGTTTTCTTCAATGGCTTCTGGTATTTTCCTTTTGTGTTAAGTAGAAAAAAAAACTCATAGATTTGCAATGACTTGAGGGCGAATAAATGGTATCTCTTTCAGTTCTGTCACAAGATGTACTTCATGTTTTTTATTGTATATTTAGTTACAATCTTACAAATAATGGTGTGAATACTAGGTGAAATAGGACCAAATGGATTTTTATTATTTTTTTGGTTCAGACAAAACAAGCCAACTGAGCCAAACTTTTAAGTATAAACACAATTTATAAAATTATGTTTTATTATTATACTTATTGTAATTTGTGCAAAGGTGCTTTAATAAATTAAAATCAAAGAGGACATCACACAATTTTTTTCATTCTACTTTACAAACACGCAAGATGGGGGTGTTTGACCATCGTGCCTGCATCTTGTGCATACGGGCTTATTTTAACAGATTGCAGTTTTGCTTTGAAAAGCATGCGACACAGGCAGTGGAATGCTCCTGCCTTTTTTACTTTTTACTGTGAGTCATGTGTAAGATGCAGCCAAAGATACAAGACAAGCCCATAAAGTGTGTTTACATTGAAAAAAAGGAATAGGAATTGATCTCTAATTGGTTAAAAATATAGACAACTTTTAGAAAATCCAGCCCCACTTATAAAATCTTCACTTGTTTATGCATATTATTTGATTGTTTCCTGTGCTGTGTTCACAGGGGGTGAAGCCTGGCAGTTTTGACAAAGTGGCAATTCCAGAGGTGAAGGAGATCATTGAGGGTTGCATTCGTCAGAATAAAGATGAGAGGTGTGTTGACATTCACTGAATGTGACATTCTAGATGTCACAGTGTCTTATGGTCTAGTTTCCGCAACCTTTTTTTTTTTTTTTTTTTCACTGGAAAGTTATGGTGTGATGCAGTTGCAGCCTCAATCTTTTCTTCATTTGTCACATGAAATATTGTTTTTTCTTTTACCTTAGGTTTGTTTTAAAAAAACCGTAAAGAGTTAGTTAAATTAAAATTGTTATTACACCAAAACAAATCTTCAAAACAGCACAAAAGTATTGTTGTAGCTTAATATTATAAATATTTGATTGATATTGTCTGTTTTGAAAATGTTTTTTGGTACTTTTCTGGACTTTGAACAAGTCAGGAACTTACTAGGGAAGATATTTTTCTTAATAATGATTTTTTAATAGAAAGGAAATGTTTGAGAGATGAATAAGGGTTTGTACAATTTACATCCTGCTAGACTCTGGGAGTTTTAATGCTTTATTTAAGATCATAATTTGCATGCTTAGTCAGACACATAAAATATTATTTTATTAAGTCTGTTTTTTGGGGGGTATGGCCGAGTTGTCAGTTTTCATATTGGTGTGCTTGAGTTGGCTCATTGGAAGAGGGATTACATTTTTGGATAGAAAAAAAGGGAATGAGAACACCATATGCTGTAAATGTCTAGGATTTTACTTAAATGTAAGCATTGTTTTATGGTAGCAGTTTTGTGTATTTTGTATAATTTGGTTTGTCTCAATTTATAAATGTATAGTTACATTTAAGTACATATGTATAACTTTTTTTTAAACAAGGTTGTTTCTTTTATTTATGCATTGTATTGATTTTATTTATACATGTTTTTAAAATAATAGTTCACCTCAATTTATGTGAGTGGTGGGCAAACTTTTTAGACTCGAGGGCCACATCAAGTTTTGCAAACCATGTGAAGGGCCACATGTCAAATCCTTCAAAAAAATAACTTCTATTTATAGTGGCAGTATGCATGGAACATTTAAAATCGAACAGAAATGTGTCACATTAACACATTTTTTATAGTTATTATTGAGTCATATTTACAAGTCAAATTAAGTTGCACTGCTATTTATATTTACTTATCAATCATCATAATAAAATAATCCCTTATAAAATATAATAATGATCATAACAATAATAATAATCATTTTTACAGTGGAGAATAGAAAAGATATTGTCTGATCGAAAAAAAATCTCATATTAACGCATAAAATAATTTGAATGTTTGCATGAAAAATGGCAACTTGCGTTGTAGTCTTTACTCTTTAACAGCAATACTCTTTTGGCATATTAGACAGCGCTTTCTGTCCGATAATGGTGAAGTATTTTGTTGTCCATTCTCCCTAAACACACAACATTCAGAGTCAACTTTTCTTGTCTTTTTTTTTTTTTTTGCCTGACTCCTTTTCAGTCATTAACGGTCGTGTGCATTTTAATATTTGAGAGTGTGTTCTAATTTTACTGGTTTCGCTAACTGTACCGCGTGCAATACTGCTATGAAATGGTGTTCACTTGTATTGCATCAATAATTTTCTAATTCTGAAACCAAACCCTTACTCAGAAGCAGCATTTCAAAAACTATTTAACGGGCTGTAGTTTGGTCACCTCTGATTTAAATAGTTATTTATTTACCCTGAAGTTGTTCCAAAGCTGTTTGAGTTTCTTTTTTCTGTTGAACGGTAAAGCAGATAACAAACAGTTGAAAATTTCCATGGTATTTTTTTGTGCTATGGAAATCAATGCTATTGTCAAATTTTGTTACAAACATTCTTCAAAATATCATGTTTTGTACAGGTTTAAAACGACATGAATAAATATGTGAATTTTAATGTTAAGATGAACTATGCCTTTAAGTCCTAAATTTGATCTTGTTTTGTTTAATCAATTGATTTCCATTATCATTTTTTTTCCATCTTCATTTTTTAGGTACTGCATCAAGGATCTCCTAAGCCATGCCTTCTTCCAGGAGGAGACTGGAGTTCGTGTAGAACTGGCTGAGGAGGATGATGGAGAGCTTGTGGCTATAAAATTGTTGCTGCGCATTGAGGATGTTAAGAAACTTAAAGGCAAATACAAAGAGAATGAAGCCATCGAGTTTTCCTTCGACTTGGATAAAGACGTCCCAGATGATGTGGCTCAAGAAATGGTAATATTCCTATTTCTGTTCTGTTCCATCCAAATAGAGCTGCATGATTCTGGCTAAAAAGAGAATCGCAAATTTTATTTTTTTATTTTTTTATTTTTTGCTTAAAATAAAGATCATGATTTTCTCACTGTTCTGTAGATGTAAAATAAAGGTATGGTAAAAACAAACATATGGTAAAACATCAATAATAGTATTATGTGTAGTTCTAATGGTTTCTATGATAATTCTATTCTACTTATAATAATTCTAATGTTGAATTATTATGTTTGAGATATATGCTTGCAATCTGTCATTGACCACATTATTAGACAATTTTATTCACTGGTAATATTGGACATTTGTCATTATCAGATTATATTCAACAACATATAGGCTAGAGTATGTATACTGACACTGTAAACATTTACAGATTATTTAAATGAAGTGCTCGCTTTCGGTTTCATTTTGACTGCTAAGTGCTGTTCATACTTTGCGCAACTCTCAAACGATCGCTCTGTACCACAAACTGAATGTTATTTACAACTTTATTATATGTTATTCACAGCCTGTGCAGGTTCAGTTCACTAAAATAGACCCTCCCGAGTCTATTAATAAAGCGTGCGCCCGCCCTGTCTTACGGTCAGCAGCTCACGTCACGTGTGATTTCCCGGCCGCGAATACAGCATTATATGAAGACAAAAAGGACATTTTTGGGGTGAATTATACCATATAAATACAGTATTTGACTTTTTCAACACCATTTGGAGGTGTCCATTTCGCTGAGCAACATATTTGAAACGATGAAAAGACTTGTGTGGCCGCCTTATCTTCTCTCCTGAACTTGAAAATATGATTGGCAGAATCGTACAAATGCTGGATTAAGATCGTCTAGGGGGTCGAATCGAGATCACGATCTTTTTTTGATTAATTGTGCACCTCTACATCTAAAGATTCAAAATCGTTTTAAATTGACCTCATTGGTTTTTTGTTTTATCACGTTGACATTTTATGTTGTTATTACTAGGTAGTTGACGTTTAATTACACTTATTTTCACGTAACCGTTTTTTATTCTAGGTTGAATCAGGCTACATTTGTGAGGGTGACCACAAAACCATTGCAAAGGCCATAAAGGACAGAGTGTCCCTGATCTCCCGTAAGAGAGAGCAGAGAAAACTGGTGAGAGAAGAACAGGAAAAAAGGAAGATGGAGCAGGAGAATGACGCCGCCCAGCAAACTAACCCCACAGTCAAGTCCCCTGGTTCTGCTCTGGCCTCAGTCATAATGGAGTCTGAAGAAGCAGAAACAGACCAGCACCAGCAGCCTGGAGCCTCTGCTTCTGGTTAGTGTCACACAAGTGACACCTTTTTTTTGCTCTGGGCCTTTTGGTAATGACTGTGTTTGCAGTTAATAATAATATTAAATGCAAGTGTCTGTTAATGTTTTAGACTCTTTTGGAGAAAAACAAAATCTTAATATGGGATATTTTATTTAGTGGACAAGATATATTAATATTATTTAAATACATAAAGTAATTTAATCATCATAGATAAAGTGATCATGCTAAATTGTAACATTTTTAAATGACTGGCTGAAAATAGGTTAAATTCAGTAGTTTGAAGGACAGTTAGATCCTTGAATAGTCTCTAAAATCCCATTAAATATTTTTTGATTAAATCTGCTTGACAAAAGTTTTTGGTATGCAAATTATTATAACACGGAATGGTACTTTTCTGGGCGTCATCAGTAAATGATTTTCTCTTTAAATTTTTTCGCTACTGATTAAATTACTAATTAAACAGTAAATATCATATTTTATGAAATATGCTGTTAAATTCTTGTCTTTCTTCACAGCTGTAGGGTTTGTGGATCCTCAAAGTTCAGTGACCATCCTCGAGGCTCATCCTGTCCAGCCAAACACATCTTTCAGCACCACACAGCCTGATCCGCAGCCACAGCACACAATTATACGTCCACAAAGCATGGTGAGCCACTTCCTGTCTGTTTTGTTTTCTATTTAGATTTTTTTAAAATAGATAAATCATATTAGTCTGAAAACAAATCACTATATTTGATCTTTCATGCTAACTAGTATTGTCAAAAGAATTATGTGCATCACAAATTGCATTCTTGTTCACTATTCTATGCCATTTTGTAGTATAAATAGCAAATTAACTTATTTGACCACTATAAGTGTAAAATGTTGAACACTTTATGCACTCAACAGTCATGAGCTATAAGGTTGGATTATGTCCAATCAAAATTTAAACGTTTGTTATTTGGTAATGTTGTTAATTTGCTAACCATTAATCTGTCACCTTGTAAATGATTTAAATAAAATATTAGTATTTCATTTGAGATGACTTTAAACTCATACAGTACACAGTTTAGTGTATAAGGGTATACACACTTAGTGTAAAGGTGTACATTGAGTCATTTGGCAGACAACTAATATTTCACTGAGTGTTAATTAAAGCATAGTTTTCATCTGTATGCTTGTTTTGTTGTATTAATTTGTGTTATTAGTTGGTATTTTTTAATACTGAGCGTTGACTTGAATTCAATGTTTATATAATTGTAAATACAATTTAGAATGCTACATGGCATAATTTATTAGATGCATGGTTCAAAGTCATGAAAATGATTTTTTAGTCAAGACTGTGAAAATGTTGGCAGGGCAAGTAAACAACTGGCCTGACTTGACCGAAAATAAAAATCCAGGCAACTGAAAAAAATAAGCGCAATAATATATACATTTAAAAAAACAGGGCTGTTGAATGCTTCATTTTGATTGGCTGATGAATGTTTTAAGGCAGAGGTGTTCAAACTCGGACCTGGAGAGCTGGTGTCCTGCTGAGTTTAACTCTTAGGGCTCTATTTTGACGGTCTATGCGCAAAACGTAGGGCGCAAATGCTTTCAGGGCGTGTCAGGACGCGTTTTTGCTAATTTAAGGACGGGAAATCTGCCTTGCGCTTGCGTTTTGTGTCTTAAGAATAAACCAATTGGAGTCTCATTTCCCATTTCCTTTAAGAGTCAGCTGCGTCGCGCCAAGAGCGCATTCACTATTTACAGGAAGCAAAGTAAGTCTAAGTGGAAAAAATGAGCATTTCACAAGCAAACAGTTAACAGTTTTTTAACAGAAAACTGTTAAACAGAGCATCTACTGCGTAAGAATGAGAGATAATGGATCACTTTTGCTCTTGGATAGGGACACCTTTACGCACATACATCAATTAGTCTATAAATAAATACTTTTGTTTGTTAAGCGCAAATATTCGTTTCAAAACTATTTCTAAATTCAGTTCTAATTTCCAGCAAACGAATAAATGAATAATAATAGCAAAATGTGCTCAAAAACCTGAGTTATATCCTAAAACACATGCTGCGCCCCATATGGTCTAAAACCTGACAGGTGGGCAAATCTAAGCTTGTTTTTAATAAAACAAATATACATATGGATATAATAAATAATACTGCTAATAATAATAACATTAAACAAAAGCAAATTGTTATGAATGAGCTGAAAAAGCCACCCGAGATGAAGAAGACATAAAAGCAGTGGTTTTTCATATTTATGTAGGCTAGAAAATAATATGTTTTGTAATATTTTAATCCTTTATATTTATATCCTATATCTATTTTTATTATATCCTATATATATCCTTAATATTTAAATTTTTTCATATGTAGATATTTGCCTATTGCTCTCTTGTGCGTATTAAGCAGTGCGTAAGCGAGGCGCAACTCTGCACCAGAGTTTAGACCGGGTTAGTTTTGGTCTAATGAAAAATCTATTATAGTTTCCTAAAATAGCAACGCGCCAGCGGTCCGCCTCAGAACGCCTTACTTTTTAGACCAGAATGCCTATGGGCGCAAAAATGAGCGCTTATGCATTTGCTATTTAAACAGCGCAGCGCAACGCCTCAAAACGACTCTTGCGTCAAGCTGAAACTACCAAAAGACTATTGCGTCGCGTCTTGCGCCACACTGTGCTGGGTGTATGATAGGGCCCTAACTTGCTTCAACACACTTACCAGGAAACTCTAGCATAACTAGTAAGAGCTTGATTACCTGGTTTAGGTGTGTGGTTAGGATTGAAGCTAAACTTTCCAGGACACCGGCCCTCCAGGCAGGTCTTCCATATTACTACACTGAAAATGTCAGTTAAATATATACTTCTATATATAAATGACATATAATCTGTGTGTGTGTGTGTGTGTGTGCGCGTGCGTGCGTGCGTGTGTGTGTGTGTATATATATATATATATATATATATATATATATATATATATATATATATATATATATATATATATATATATAAAAGTATATATTTTTTTCTTTTAAACTAAAGTTGTTTTATTATTTCTCTATGGTTTCCAAAATTGTATTGGGTGTCACTGTTTTTATGGTATCTAATTAAAGTTGGAAATTCCATTATGTGACAACACTAATGCTAAAACATTTCTTCTCAACAGTCGCAGCACCCAGTCCAGGCCCCTCTGCAGCAGCCGAGCAGTACTTTGACCCTGGGCCCCGTCCCCCAGACTTCTCCACCTCAGGTACACTTCCTGTGATCCTTAACACGACAAAAACAGTTTTCTTCATGGATTTGTTAAACATGAACCAAAGTTGCATAAACTCTTTTAATATATCATAGGTGATCGGTCAAACAGCCTCTCTGCCCTCTACTGTTCAATCTATTGTCCCGCTGCAGTACCGTCAGCCACCTCAGGATGGAATCACACTACCTCAATCCCTGCCCAGCGCTCAAGTCTTACAGGTACAGAATGAATTGTGCCCTCTGGTGGTTGGCTTTATGTCTCCAATTGGGCTGCATGTTGCTTGATGAATGTGTCCAACTTCTTGGCCATTCATGCATTAATGCCATTGTGTGTGTTTTTTTTTTTTTTTACTTTTCAATTCTTTCTTACATGCTGACTGTTCTTACATGCTTGTCAGATATGGGCATGTCAACTCAGCCCTCCTGTTTTCTCACCACCTCCAAATGCCGAACAGCTCTATTTTCTATATCAGGCCTGTCAGGTACTAGATGTGCCTAACACTGTGGTGTGTGTGAAATAGTGGTTCACCAGTGTGGGTTTTTAGTGCTGGTGGCTAATAAAAAGTTTTTTTTTCTGTATATTAAAATAATATAGATTAGTGATGTACTGTATAGCTATGGAACACATTAAAACACTTCTGTTTCTCTAAATTAGCAGCTTATATTTTTCATATTAAAGCCTGTTTTATTCTGTATACTACTGCTGACATGTATTCCAAGTTTCAAATTAAAGGATTGTTTTTTTGCATTAGATAAAAAGTGCAGTTTCTTCAGTTATTATTTTTTATATAATTTCTTAGGCAAGGCAATACCAATGCTTTAACTTCAGAAAAAAAACAATTGACTTTTGACAAACTGTCATTCTGAAAAACTAATGCTCTTAAAGGTGCAGAAGTGATCTTCCACAATGCTACAATGATCTTCCCCTGCTGTCTATAGCCACGCCTCCTTAAACACGAGCACAGCAAAAGAACCCTTTCTCATGTGTTAAAAGCAACTAGTGCTTGTCCGGCGGCTTGCAAGCCAAACTGCGGATCTGCGTACAAAAGGCTGCGCAGTTGTTCAAATTTGCATTTGCTGACAGACAGATAGGGCTACTTATCGAAATTATGAGAGATGTCGGTCTGACTTTTTAATTGGTTGAACATTTTCTAGTTTTATGCCTTACCCAAACTATAAAAATACATATAAATACATTTAGATCATTTACTTTAATCATTACTATTAGACTGTGAAGAGACTTTCAACCAGCACAACAAAAAATGCTTCTGAAGACAATCATCTACTACACCTTTAAAATAACAGTAATGACATTTTTGGTTGAATTTTGGAAGAAATGTTATTAGAACTCTATAGGGCTGCACCATATTGAAAAACTGACATAGCATATACACGTGTGTGTGTGTGAGTGCGTGCATATATATACACAGTTGAAGTAACAATTATTAGCCCCCTTGAATTACACAAAGTAATCCACAAATCATGTGTACTGAACTGATTCCTGGTTAATTGTAATCCCAACATGACATTCCAGATCCTGCGGATGTGATTATTGCAGATGCGTACATTGCAATGTCGATACTAAAACGAAATGTTGTGCAGCCCTAGAACTTCATATATTAAAACATAATGCTTCTGATGTTTATTACACATCATTTACTCAATCCCAAATATAATAATTTCAGAGGAACTGAGAATTCATAACTGGTCTTTTAATGTTTTCCATAGCTTTACGTGTTATTATTGTTTTAAATTAGTTTTCACTGGCAATGAAAATTGTAGTAAAGGTAGTTTTTAGTAAATATTTAGTAAAAAAAAATATTGTCTTGTTCTATAGTTATAGGTTGGTATTTTTCTTTTATAATTTATATAAAAATAATTTACGCTCATCAAGTGAGTAGTTATTTGATAAAGCAGTAGAAAAAATAATGTAAATATTAAAAATTTACATTTGTTTTCCATTTAAATAAATTAAATTCATTCAAATTTAGTTAAGATCAGTTTTAGAAGCCATAACTTGTCTTAATTTTCTTCAGAAATTATTTGAATAAGAAACATTTCTGTCAATGCCTTAAACAGTTTTGTTTTCAGTATTCTTTAGTGTAAAATTTTCTTTTACCTAATTTAATGCAATTTCTTTCAAAAAAAGTTTTTTATTTTTTTTAATTTGTTAAATTCTGAGAAAACTGTTAAAAATTGTGATGTTCATACTTATTTTCTTCAATATCCTATATAGAAGCAGTTTGCCATAAATAAAAGTAATAATTTCATAAAAACTGACCTCAAACTTTTGAAAAGCCAGTGTCTGTGCCTTTTACAGTCAATTTATTTTTAGATATATATATGTAGACATTACAATGGCTTTCCCCTTACCCTCTGCTTCAGATCTATCTTCCTGTTGTCACCAATGCTAGTTTAGCTTCCTGTTACCCAAAATTCCCCCAAGTCTTGTCAATATACCTGGCTTCAGATTTCTTCATAAGCCAGCAATGTACAACTACAGCTTTTTTTCAACAAAAATCATCTACTCCCTATGATTGTTTATGTAAAACTGTGATTTTAAAACTGAATTTGAACATGTAATTTCTTTACAGGCACCACTAAGTGTGTCCCAATCACAACCAGTAGAGCAGACACAACCTCAAACATCTCTGGTTCCTGCCTCCACAGAAAGGTGAAACCTGTTTTAAAAATCCACATGAATGAATATTGAGGTTCCAGTTGAGAGAACTTGAGTTAATTTAGTTTTTTTTCCCTTCAGTGGACACTCTGATCCGGCATCTGGTCTAAGCGATGGGAATGAGGGGAGACACGAGGGTCGCTCTATGAAACGACCCCAACGCCGTTCTGTACGCAGCCGCTCGCGTCATGAAAAAACAGCTAAGGTCAAGCTCAATGTGCTAAATGTAAGTTACTCACAAATCTGATTGGTCTATAATGTTGGCATTACATTATAATGATTAACTGATTATAAGCACAGCATATAAGTACATATTAAAATGTAGTCCGGTTGTTCTGTTTTTATAGATTTCTAATATTGGAGACAGAGTCGCTGAATGTCAGCTGGAAACCCACAACAGAAAGATGGTCACATTCAAGTTTGATCTGGATGGGGATAATCCTGTAGAAATCGCTGAAATTATGGTAAAACTTTTGCATACTTTTATTTTTTTCAGCATAGTGGATTAGGCTGGGAACCTTATCAATCAAACAGTTGTTGATGATCATAACCATTAATTACCCCATTTGTTATATTATTATTTTATAATTAATTTTGTTTTAATTTTCGTTTGTTTAGCAATTTATTTGGTAATATATTGGTTTCCATTGTCCAGGATGCTCAACGTTAAATAATCATTTAGGTGGCATTTACTCTCCAAGACTTTGACACATTAGATGTTTTGTCCCACATGTTTTCCAATTTTTTTGAGGGTAAAAAATGTTTTATCAATTTTGCATCTTACACATTTTAAATATAAAATGATCAATGATATTTCTCAATTTCCTTCCACTGAAGAAATATTAGGCAGAGCTTAAATTAAAAACTATAATCATAACTGTCAAATGTCTTTGGGGAAAATTATTTGTTGTGTAACATTTTTTTCCTGTTTATACTGTTATACTGTTTACGTATATGATCTATATACCTAAATATTTGAATCACAGTGACCATTTTAATAATAGCTTGTCTGAAGAATTATTTGTTTTTCCACCCTTAATAGAGGGGCAAAATTTATTTCTAAAGTTATAAATTGTTTTTTTTTTATCAGGTCAAAAGTGATTTTATTTTGGAGAGTGAACGAGAGTCCTTCATAGAACAGGTTCAGCTGGTCATTCAGAATGCAGATCAGAAAGGAAAAGCTCCCCAAAATAGCCAAACTCAGGTATGAGCTATGATTTTCAAATAAAAAGTACAAATTTACAAAAGTCGTATATCATTTGAGAACTTGAAATTAAAAATGTTCCCATAACATCTCAGGTGATCAGTAATTCGAGCCAACAAGTACCTGAAATTTTAACATCCAGTGTGCCTGGTAAGTGTACACCTGACAGTGATGTTTTTACATTTAATTCACTCGCATCATTTATATTTCACACTCTCTACATTTAACAGGTATGCCACCTAGCTTAGCAGCACAGGTTGTACATTCAGCAGGCAGGCGCTTCATAGTCAGCCCCGTGCCTGAAGCACGACTTCGGGAGCCGTTGTTTGGTACTCCCTCAGCAAACACATCATTTGAAGATACGGCACCAGGTATGATTTACATATCCTCAGAAAAGCAATTCTTAAATATAATTTCAAACATTCAGACTGATTTTTATCTATGAATTCCCTTCTCCAGCACCTGATCCAACATCAGCCAGCAGTGCTCCGCAGGACCAAGCCAACTTTGCCTCTGATTCAAACCAAATTTCTGTGGTACCACCGACACCTGGAGATCTTGCCCCAGAGAGCTCCATTCCACCTACTTCTCAATCACCATACCAGAATCCTGTCCCATCATCCACTGCAACTTTGACTGTGACCACCACTCAAGTAAGCACTCCAACACCAACTACCACTCCGCAACCTATAACAGGGAGGACGTCTCCTTCACCAGCCCCAACAGAACCACCAGCAGCACGTCGTATGTCACTTCCCAGCCCATCCCAGACACCTCAAATTGCTCCAGGAGAGAGTAATGGCTTGGATCAAGCACAAGCCTCAAATCAGCAAGTAACTCAACCGAGTGCAACCGGAGATAGTGAGAGCGACGTACAGGGGAAACCACCTGGAATTGAAGACATTCATGCTCTAGACCAAAAGCTGCGCTCCCTTTTCAAGGACTCATCCCAGAACTCTTGCAGCCAACCTGACGGGTCTGGAGAGACTTCCACAACCTCTCCACCCAACACCATAAGCACTAACACTCCTGGCTTTGTCTCTGGTGTGACGCCTTCTAGTTTGTCGCTCAATTCCAGCGGGAACTTTGCACCTGGTGCTTTCGCCTCCATTGGTACTCCTACAAGCTACACCCAGACACCATCTACCGACCAGTCCCCTCCAAGGCCACAGGTGTGGGGGAAAAGCTGCTTATTTTGCATGTATGCTAGGGATGCGGCAAAAATTTAAATTCTAGATACAATTAGCCAAAAACTGAAATAGCTTTGTAATATTATTTATTACTTTATGAAATAATCAAAGGTAATTTTGTAAGACATTTTACATTTAACTTTAATTTCCTTGTGTTTAAAAACAGTGTAATTTATGAACAAAAAAATTTAATTAGAGAGGCGTCAAGATCTATTTTACATAAAAATGCTGGTTAAAGATTCTGACAGTATGATAATCTTGGATAAAAATATCACGATTTGACTGTATTGATTAATTCTTTTAAAATGTCTGGGTTAAAAAAAAATACTTTTTCCCCATTGAACAAAATATATTTTATTTTAAGAAACATTTTAAAATATTTTGGCTTAATTCACACTTTATTTTTATAAATCTGACTATCTTCATCTTCAAAAACACAGATTTCATAACAACTCGAAAAGGCATCTTTGGATAACTGTCTTTTCTTTGGATATAAAGTCATGGCACTGTTCAGGTCTAAAGCATGCTTGTATGTTGATGTATAAGTGACTTTTTTTTTTAAACAATTTCTGAATCGTGGGCTGAGCAGTAGCTTTTCATTTGGAGGCTCCTTTTGCTGTAGATAATGCGGCCCTAAAAAACCTAATGATATATTCAAAAAACACAATAAAAAACAGACATATACCTTTTGGTACAGTATAAAAAAATGTTTGCAATTTCAAAACCTTCACTTTTCCAAACTGCGGTAAACCTTGAAACCGGTTATCATCTCATGCCAACTGTGCACTCTGCTGCTCATGCGCTTTGGTCGATGTAGCAACAAACCATCTAAGTGAGCGAAATTAATGGCTGTTATAGCACAGTGCTTTCCGCATGTGGTGTGAAAGCTCCTTTTCGCCCCCAAAAACAAAAATGTTTATTTTATTTCCTCAAATTTTACATATAAACATGCAGTTAATTTTTGTTATACGGTATACACCACTTAAAGTTTTGTGTTTTACTTAAAATTTGTACAAAAGCTTTAAGTGCAGTTAATATTTGGTCATGTTATACATACAATTCTACAACAGTACATACAAGTTCCTCAAGTTCCTTCTCAAAATACAGAATACACCATTAGTGTGATTTAATGCACTAAAATAAGAAAATTCCATATCAATGGCTGCCCATGTATATTTAGTAATACATACTTTTTTTGCTATTATTATCCTTCAACACTTTTTTTGTGTCCGTCCAATAGAAACAAACATCCATGAACGACTAAGTAGTGGACAATCATCTTTCGTTTACCTGTTTCATACTGCTCGTTCTGTACACGAGAATTGTCAAAACTCCCACAGACAGTCTCACATGCTCTGCAGACCCACAGAGATGCACCTTGTTGCGTCCAGCCGGGGTTTCTAAATCTTCTAAAATGTCCGGGATTTAGTGTTGCTTTTTGCTTTGTCGTTAATTTTATGTGCACAGCCACATGATATGAAATAATTAATTATTTAATCTAAACGACTCAGAAGAACTTTACTAAATACTCGAAGAGGACGAAATCTAAATTGGCTACAGAATATTTGTACACCATGAGTAATATGTAATCAACTCATTTGTCATATTTAAATAATCTACACATTTTATTCTTGTAATTATTAGATTTTTTAGAGATATTATCTGTTTTTATTTATTTCTCATTTGCTCTATCTATTATTAATTTCATTGGTAATATATATATATATATATATATATATATATATATATATATATATATATATATATAACTATTTTATACATCTAAAATGCTTTGGCAATACTGTACAAAATGTCATGCAAATAAAGCAACCTAAACTTGAATGAGGGATTGAAAGAAGCAGATTTGACCTGTCAGTGAGTGCACATGGCTCCTGAATAACATAAAAAAGAAATAGTGGATTTTTATTTAATTCAACAGTCTTTAAAAAAAGCTTTAACCCATTGAAAGAGAAAGTTTAAAACGGATAATAATACAACGTGTTAAAAAACAAATTATGTTTTGTTTGTTGAATATTAACTTATAACTAATTGACTATTTATGTGCTGTGGGTAAGAGGTGTATTTCAATCTGGCTACCACCACAAGTATATTTCAAACCTGTGGGAAGCACTGCTATTCTTATGTTAAAAATGCTGTCTGTCATATCGACATATTGTCACTTAATATATTGTCATTTTTTTTTCTCTTTAAAGATTGCTGTTGGTGTAACTCAACCAGATGGACACAACAGTACTGAGGAGAAAGAGCCACAACTTGAGAAAGCTTTCCAACTTGGCCGATTTCAGGTAGCTTTATAGACTTCTCAGAGTTACCTGAGGGCTCCGGTGACCTGAAAATAAATTTCAAGCATATTCTCTCCTTATTTCAGGTGTCTGTGGCCAGTGATCAAGACCCACCAACTGCTCTAGACCCAGGAGTGGTGGTTTCATCTTCCTCTGCTACCCCATCTTCAACATCATCATCATCATCATCTTCTTCATCACCATCATCTCTCTCTAGCCCCGAAAACACAATTCATAAATCTCAGACTCCTCCACCCAGAGTCAGCCCTGAACCCGTACCACCTACCACTACAGTTGGCCGCTTTCAGGTGACTTGCAGCACTGACATCAAACTTGGTCGCTTCTCAGTGACACCAGCAGAAAGAAAGTCTTCCTCAGTTGAGGGACCAGACACCGCCAAAGAGCCTAAATTGACCCCTTCCAGTGTGTCCATTACCAATCATTATCTCAGTAGCGACAACGACTCAGAACCAGAAGATGAGGGCTTAAGACGAGAGATGAACAGGCTCAAGGAGAGGTACATGTCATATTTTTTAACAACATCAGGTATTGGCGGGGATGCTATTATAGTTGTCATTAGAGTTGGTCATGTGGTCACTTTCAAATTCTTCTTGCAGACATAAGGTTGAGATCATGGCATTGCAGAATAAACAGAAAAAGGAAATTGAGGAGCTCTTCACTCGTCTGGGCAAAACACCATCTGTGGTTGTGCCACCCACTGTGGCCATGACGCCTGGTAGACGGAGACCTGCTAAGGGCAAGGGGAACAGGCCAAGAAGTGGTAGTGCCACTCAGGCTGCATCTTTTCAACAAGGTATCAGAGCTTAGTGGTTTAGGTCGGGCCACACCAAGCTGACATTCAGCCATCGGTCAATGTCTGACCATCAGCAAGCATCTTATCAGCATATCAGGCTAGGTTATCAGGATCCTGATAGGCTGGAGTTTACCTGATTCCGCATGTAGAATTGCATTAGGGCCATTGGCAAAAGAGAGTGATGCTGTGTGTGTGTGTGTGTGTGTGTGTGTGTGTGTGTGTGTGTGTGTGTGTGTGTGTGTGTGTGTGTGTGTGTGTGTGTGTGTGTGTGTGTGTGTGTGTGTGTGTGTGTGTGTGTGTGTGTGTGTGTGTGTGTGTGTGTGTGTGTGTTACTAGTTTCAGTTTCTTTTCTTTTTTTTGTAATAACAGGACAGGCTGCTACAGGTATATCCTCTCACACAAGGGATGCTCATTTTGGTTAATTTTGCTAATCGACAACCGTTGTTCATTAACCGAATATTAACTGTTAACAGGTCAGATTAATATTTAAAAATATGACTGTTTAATTAAAAAATATATATTAATGTGTCTGAAGCATGAAATATTACATTTTAAAATACTGATTTATTTTAAGATGCAAACAGCAGCGTACAGAACATATTAACAACAGAACATCAAGCATCTGCAGCGTTTTCAACAGCATAGAAAAATAATAAATAGGCCTGCCCTTGATATTTTTCAGTTAAATTTTAAATTTAGATTACAAAACAAAAACACTGAACGAATCCTTTTTTAACCAGCATAGACAGTTTTTCCAATCATGTCTTTTTTTCCTTTGTCAAATAAAAATAGCAGGCTACCTCAAATTGATCGCTCCACAGAAAATATGCATTTAATTAATACTTCGCTACCAGCAATATCCTTTCATTTAGCCTCTTTGGCAAAATACGTCTGTAGGCATGTGTGGTTGCACATATTAACATCTTGTGAGTTAACAAATGTGTTGCACATTTGTGCAGCCAAACTTAAAATCGTTTAATTGATAGCATTAATCGGTTAAAAACGCACCCTTTCAGTTAACGGTTAATAGCTTATTTTGAGCATCCCTATCTCACACAGGCGAAGAATTTTAAGTTATCATAAATAGAACTGATCATATTTAATGTCCTTTTTTTTACTTATCGATTTATTGTATAATCTATATTGTTATTATATCTTTTTGTCTATATTGATTACCAGTCCCATACTGCTGTAAGCAGGGTTGTAAATGTGTCACAATGATCATGTTTTCCCCTCAACACAACAATGGCGGCTGAGAGAGAACTGTTTCATAAACATCTCAAGCTGCCTTCTAGAGCTTATCGTATCGTAAATGAGAAGCAGCACAGTGGCATGCCACATCTTCAAATTGTTTTCTATTAGCCACAAAGGTGTTTAGAAGTCAAAACTAAATAGGCCAAAAAAGTTTGTTTTGGTGAGCTGTTTCAAACTGACCTTTTTTTGGACAGATTTTGTTTGAAATTACATAATTTCTTCCATTTCATTTAAACTCTACAGGTCATTAATGCACTTCTGGTTCACAGTTAGCGAGCATGTATTTGTTTTTGAAGTGCAGCATTTTAGCCCAGATAGTGGCAACACATTTTGCTTCAATAACAACACATTTGGCCCCTAGTTCTTTGACGTCAACTTGGTGTGTCCCGGATTTACATCCAACTGTAACATCTTGCTTGTCCCTTATGACTATACAGTTTTTTGGTTTCATCTAGGGAACAAACAAGCTGTGCAGAGTGGTTCACTCAGTCAGTCAGCCAGTGAGAAGACTTCACCTTCAGAAACAGCACCAAGCTCAAACAATGATGTGCAAGGTATGAATGTCACCCTTGTAGGTGGTCTCAGAATTTAAGTTCTTTTAAATTTGCTAATATAGATTGTAACTTGTAGATAATACAAGTCCAGTGAGAAAAGAAAACGGACAGAGCCATGACCAGGACCAAACACCAACAACTAATCTGCCACGCAAGGGCACATTCACAGATGACCTCCATCAGCTGGTTGATAACTGGGCCAGAGATGCCATGAACATGATGCCACAGGTCAAGAAAGGATCCAAAAAGAATGTTCATGAAGTACGTAACATTTACCTACACTGAACAATTTAGTTTTGATAAAGATTATCAGAGGCCCTGTTTCCACTGGGAATTAGCATGCATCTCTCTTGACCACTGGTGTTCAGATTTTATTGAGACCCTTTTACTCTTGTTTCGTGACATGGTACTCGTGTGTCACGAGACACTTTCTTGTGTAAGTGTAGTATTAATGAATGAAAAAACCCGTTATCTGGCAGAGAGTAGGTAGTCATTACAGGCTGTTCACACATCTAATGTGTTCTCAAATTATTTTGGAAGTAGTTTAATATAGACAAGCTCAAAATACTTCGAACCCCATTTCTGCCTGTATTTAGTCATATGCACTAGTGACCAAATTGACTAAAATGCATTTCATACCTGGGACTTAAACTTAGCCATTACTATCAAGGCTGCAACCAACTAAGTTACCAAAGTGGCAATAAACATTTTAATAATAGTCCAAGCTAGTTTTGCAAGCATTCCAAGAATGAAAGGGGCCCTCAGACAATATTTACAAGACACCTTAGTTGTAGATGCCTTTCATAATGATAAAATTTGCATGCTCTTTTACATTAGTCTACACCAGTGTTCACCTAACTTGTTCCTGGAGGGTCAGTGTCCTGCAGATTTTAGCTTCAACCCTAATCAAACACACCTGAACAAGCTAGTCAAGGTCTTGCTAGGTAAACTTGAAACATCCAGGCAGGTGTGTTGAGGCAAGTTTGAGCTAAACCCTGTAGGGACACTGGGCCTCCTGGACCGAGATTGGTGACCCCTGGTCTACACCATGCAATATATTTGTTTTAAAAATAACAATTTAAATTTATTTTTTTTTGCCATTTATACACAACAATTGTCATGGAGACCTAAAAATCCAAACTTGTGTACAATATGGGATGAAACACCCACAAATTAAAAATCACTCTAGGGCCCAAATGAACCTTTTTGCATGGTAGCACTGGTGCTTCTAATTTAAAAAAATAGGCCCACCAGCCAAAATAACAGTGAATGGTTTAAGTTATTTTTTTATATAGCGAACTTTAACCCACTGGAAGTTTCCTATCCGCTCTTCGAAAAGTGTAAATGGTGGATTAACATGCACCACAGGATCAGTAATAAGATGTGCCATTATTTGTAACTTTAGGTGGTTTCTAAAACAAAAGCTGTCAGTGTTGTTTTCATTGTGGTTGCACATTTTAACATCTTGTGAGTTAAAAAATGTGTTGCACATTTGTGCAGCCAAACGTAAAATTGTTTAACTGATAGCATTAATCGGTTAAAAACGCACCCTTTCAGTTAACGGTTAATAGCTTATTTTGAGCATCCCTATCTCACACAGGCGAAGAATTTTAAGTTATCATAAATAGAACTGATCATATGTAATGTTTTTTATGTCCTTTTTTTACTTATCGATATACTGTATAATCTATATTGTTATTATATCTTTTTGTCTATATTGATTACCAGTCCCATACTGCTGTAAGCAGGGTTGTAAATGTGTCACAATGATCATGTGTTCCCCTAAACACAACAATGGCGGCTAAGAGTGTTGTTTTCATTCTCTCGTATCCAAACCTTTACATTTTTCACAGGTGTAGCTTCCTGTCATCTAAGTGTTTGACAGCTGATATTAACTAATCCATTTGCCTTCTGTTTTAGAGCAGTGGGCTAATAATAGCTTTAAGGCGGGGCAAGCATGGCAGAGTTTGTTTTAACCCATTCTTGAGCATTTTATGGCATTTTTTAGGTGCAAAGATGCATTCTGCTTGAATTTCTCCTACATTTGCGCATGCGGGGAACATTTTGCGTGAAAACTGGGTGCATGGCAACAATTTTATGCACTTGCACAAATGCTCTGAAATATATTTTGAGGTCACATACATAAAATTTGGGAAGCATATGCAACCAAAACGGATGTAATTTCGAGCCCTAGAGTCAGTAACCAATTACTTGCACATTTTTCCTACTGAGTAATTTATTACACTCCGATGTAGCTCACAAAATTGGTGTTTTATACTGACTTTAAGAGTGTGTGCACACCAAACTGTTGTGCACAACTGAAAAAGCTAGCACTCTTCCAAAAATACTCAGCTGTGGTTGCTTCCTAAAATGTCAGAGCAATTTTACAAAATACTGAGCCTAAAATGAATTCTCAGCGCCTTACCATTCTGCTGGTGTTCCAAACACTACACCGGGGTTCTTAAACTATGTTCTGGAGAGCTGGTGTCCTGCAAAGTTGTGTTCCAACCTTAGACACATCAAAGCTAGCTAATCAAGCCTTCACTTTCTAGAAACATCCTTGCAGGTGTGTTGAGGCAAGTTGGAGGGAAAATCTTCAGGACACCGGCCCTACTGCAACATTTTGAGAACCCCTGCACTACACACTTCTTCCTTTCAGAACAACTGAAAAAATATACTCAAGAAAAAATAATATTTTGTGGACAAGCACCCTAGTAGTAGTTGTCCTGCAAACTAAATTTCACCATAATTTAAACACTGTCAACCAGTCAGGCATAAGACTCAAACTATCACTAAACGAAGCCTTCAATCTTCCTCCTCAGATGCCACGTAAATACTCCGCACCAGGTCAGCTTTGTTCCACTGGTGGCCACATCCCAGCGACCATCAACCCCACAGCTGGACGGAAGGGTTCAATAGGTGTGGCCAATCAGCAATTTGGCTACACTTGTCCCAACTACAACATGCCTCAATGGAATCAGGTGGGGACAATATCATCCACCGCTCCACCTGCAGGACTACAGCAGGGTTTCCTTATCCCATCAGGAGCCCACCAAACCGGAAATAACTGCGGATCAAGCAATCTGCGCACCACTCAGGCAAGCTGAGACAGCTGGCGAAGGGTAAAGCTGTGCCTCATGGGGTTTAGATTATCGGGCCTAGTTCTTAAAGTGGACACAGTTTATCTGACAGTTTACAAAAAACTTTCAGGTCCATAAAATGTGACTCGGGTTATTTGAATCTGATCTAACCTGCTATTTAAAAGACTGAATGTGTACTTTTGATAGAGGCACGAATGGGTTAAACTGGTGTGTCTTAAAGATCCGATATATAGCCTTATAGTATGGATACCGTCCTTATTGTAATAAAGTCAGGCAGTTTAACTGGTGAAATACAGTGATGGTTTTGCAGTTTACCTACAGAAGTTCAAAAACAGATAGAGAGATGGATGGAGAGAAGACTGTGCCACCAACACAATTTAAGTTTAGATTTCTGGAAGAACGATGAAGGTTGGAATGTTGCATTTTAGGGAAGTGTTGGAGAGTTTGAGTTTGGCATGAAAGCAAAAGGATGTGCAATTGGAGGAAGGTAAAGCGGGGTTTTATAGCTCTTTTTACTTGCACGTATTTCATAGCATTGTTCATTCGTGACTTTTTTATTTCTTTCATTTATGATAAACTTACAATAATACAGTATATCTTATATAGACAGTCACCAGTATTCCCTGTCGACACTTGGATATGGGTGGTCATCCTGTATGCATATTTTTTCATCCCATCACTTTAAATGAAGGTAGCCTTAAAACACAGGATTGTTATGTCTTCCCCATCTTCCCCATACATATTCCAAGCAAATGTACTGCAGTTGATGAAATGGACAGGAAATATAAGATGGTGCAATTGACTGTAGTGACAGTATTAAACTACAGCACTGCATGATTTCAGGTTTTTGTTTAATTTTTATTTTGAAATATTACTCCCCCTATTTTTTTTCCTCTAAATCGTTTTCTATTCCACTATTTGAGTGCCAATCGTTTGCTGAAGTGATGTCTAATCGCCTCGGAAATGATCTGCTTGACTTCTCTAGAGAAGGTAAATGTTACTGCAATGCAGAATATGCGCCGTTTAAAGGTTTAACCGACTGGGGAGGGTTATTTGTTACTTTTGATACTTGAGTGCTCTGTAATTGACCCAGAACCACATTTAGACACAGTGAAACTGTTAAAGTACCACTGATCACAGTCACAAGCTACTGTCACATAACTGAAATTTAGAAAACGACATGTTTTCACATTCCACTTCTCACATTTGTTCCCATTGAAGACAGCATTAATTTGTGGGGTCAAAAAAAAAAAAAAAGCTGCTGCAGATGTTTTCTGTCAATAATTTTCATCCAGGGTCCTTTTGGTGACTATCTATGGTTTTGTTTATCTGTCTTGTAAAAAAGTATATGTATATATATATTCAAATCTTAATAAAACCTTTTGGACATTTTCTCCTACCCCTAGAGTTTGCTTTTTTTTTTTTTTTTTTTTAATAAGGGGTTTTCCAAAACATTGTCACACACAACTTGACATTTATGTAATTCTTCATATCAGGTACCAATAAAAAAGCAAACATGGTGGCAATATTGTTTATTTTAAAAAAGAAATCTTATATTACATTTTAGAAGGTTCAGCTGGAAAGACATGGCACACATTTATTATTTTAACATATACACAAATTAATAAAACAAAATGTATTTAAAAAAAAAAAAAAAAAACTTAATCTTTTTTTTAAAAAGCAATAAATAGCTTAATTCATCACGTGTCCAATCTTCGTTTCTTCATCATCTGGCCGTGTCTGTATGGGCTCGATGGTCCACCTTCATTAATAATTAGAACATTAGCACAGTTTGAATTTAGAAATTAATTGCAATGGTAATTAGATGTAAAAAAAATGTTCCTTAATTCATCAATCAATCTTAATTTACACATTTATCTTTCCCTTTGAATTAAAAGCATTATGAATACACAAGATGACCAATCCAGATCAACTGTTAAATTCATGACACTAGGACACAAGTTAACTGAACCATCGCAGAGACCTCCTAGTGGGCGGTATTACACCACAATTAAAGCTGTGGGTCACACTAGAGTTTGAGCTTGCAGCGCTGTGAAGATTAAACAAGGATTAAACAAGATGATTAGACATTTTAAAAAAGCAAGCAAGCGGTCCATATTTTAAATTTCTGTCCAGAGAGGTCATGTTTTGATCCTCGATTGGTCTCACGCAGTCAAGTAATGAAACTTCGCAAGTCAAAGTTAAGCAAGCATGAACTTTGCAATGCAGCGAACTGCAAAACTTGTCGCACGAGGTTGCGTTTCCGGTCTGGCCATCACTTTTAAGAGACTTATTCATATGGATTTATCACTCATTCATTCTTACTTTTCAATAAACGTGAACCGTTTATTAAAGATCCTTTACTGCACTTCAGCTGCCACCTTCAACAAGCCTCCTAATACGTGCAGCACGATGACTTTTATCAAAATCTTTCAAAAGCAGAGAATCTGTTCAACAAAAGATTCGGTCGTGTCAGGTGTCACTGCATTTCAAATAATACAAAACAATCTTTAACTAATGCCGAGTTTAGACTGTGTGATTTTAGCCCCAATTCTGATTAGGCCCCTAGTGTGGGTATCTGCTGGCCAGTGGGAGGATGGGAAATAAGTTTAGAAAGAAGTTTAAAGTTGTTATTTTGAGTCTATTTGGGCTAGGGATGCTCATTTCGGTTAATTTTGCTAACCGACAACCGCCGCTCATTAATCGGTTATTAACGGTTAACTGGTCAGATTACTATTAATTTTATATTAAACAAATTGACGCGACTATTTTGTGTCCGACACATTAAATATTGCATTTTGAAATACTGATTTATTTTTATATGCTACCATATTAATAACAGAACACAACAACAGGGCATTTTCACGCACCTGCAGTGTTTAGCACAGAGGAACAGAATAAACTAAATAAAATAAATAGGACTGCCCTAAATTATTTTCACTTAAATAATTTATATTACAAAACGAAAATACTGACTGATACTTTTTAATAACCGGCATAGGCTGCTTTTTTTCCAATCATATGTTTTTTTTTCTTCCGTCAAATAAAAATAGCTGACTTCCTCAAATTGCCCGCTTCACGGAAAATATGCATTTATTTAATGCCCCGCTGTTATTATTATAATCACAAAACCTTTTTACATTTTTAATAGAAATCATTATTTTAAAGAATATGTCCTGATATGGTTTCCTCTCTCTCCCTCGCGGTTCAAGTGTGCGCTGCGTGATGAAAAAACAACAACAACGCGCGCATATGTTGACTTTTTGTAAACAGTTTTGTTGTTTAAATATGATATTGCATTAATGTGCATACATGCTTTATAAGCTGTAAAATAAAAGGTAAAGCCTATTTGTTGCGTTTATGAAGCAGATCCAGGTCAACATCAACGCTTTTTTTGGCATCAACACGTCTGTTTTAAACAGCAATATTCTTCTTCTATTTTGCTTCTTTGGAAAATGTGTCTGTAGGCACGGTTTATACGTTATCGTCCCGCAAAGTTAAGTATGCCTTGCAGTTGAACAAGTGGCCGACCACAGCTAACATGCTTTTTTCATTCCAAAAACGCGAGGCACACCTCACTGCCTTTATGTTGACAAGGAAAAAAGAAGCGCGGTCCTCTTATGAAACGACTGAATCAGCTGGGTATCGATTGTGCAAAAGTGTTGCTGTCTGTGTTGTTACAATTGTAATATTTAATAATATTGTGATATTCAGGATTTGTACATTCATACAGCTCTGAATAACTTAAAACAACGATTAGACCTTCAGAACGGCATTAATGAGTCCTGAAGTAAAGCGAAACGACTATAAACTCCAACAAGATAGAATGATTATATGCAGAGCCATATACCTTTATGTATAAATAAAGTATAACTATAAAAACTGTGTTTATCTTAACTGAAAGCTTCTGCGTGTTTGCTGGCCTCGCGCATCGCAGACCTGTCAGTCAGTCAGCACGTAACCCCAAAGGATTATACAGACAGCGCACAGCACTATACGGTCACAGAAAAGTTTGCGCTGTTATAATCCACTTACCTTTTAATACGTTTTGGTGCGATAATAATCCGCTATTAAAAACAACAACAACAATAACTGAATTTTTTGAAAGGGTAATGAAGCTCTGTAGTTGTCTTGACAACACAAACTGCTGCTTTGGGATGAGCCGCGTGCAAAAGATGCCCCTCTTAACGCAAAGGCGCATTCAATCGGCCCCTTATGCAGTCAAACTAAAAATATATAAAATAATAATTTTAATCGTTTAACTGATAGCATTAATCGGTCACAAACGCACCCTTTCCGTTAACAGTTAATCGATTATATTGAGCATCCCTAATTTGGGCCCAAGAAAGGTAGAAAAAACTAGTGTAAATTGGGCAGAAGCACCCATGACTGTTTGACCTGTCATCTGAGCAACATTACAACCAGGTCGAAAAAAAAGGGAGAAATTGCAAATTTCCTTCAAAACACAGGTGAGCAATACAAGTACATTTTCTACCCCACTAAAGGCTTCTCTCTCATTATGTAGTTAAAAGCTAAAGAAATATTACGAGACCTCGTATTGTTTTCATGTCACACATGTGTTTGGTTGGGGGACCGAGACAAATTTTTCGACAATTCTTCCTATTGTAACGTCATGCAGTGTGAAACCCCCTGCCGCCAATCCATACTACAGTGTACGTACAGCAGCAATGAAACACTATCCCAGATATTCATGCAGTGTAAAAACATCTGTGACACAACTACTATGAAAATCATGCAGTCGGAGTTTCGCATAAAGCAATTTCTATTGTAATGAGCGAGAGCGATCTCTTCCTGTTTAAGCTGAAGAGTTGCAAAGATTATGCGTTGGAGAAGTAGTGACAATTGTGCCCAGGCTCAGTTCAAGGCAACTGTGCCTAGTGTGAGTACACCCTTTAGCACATCTGTAGTTTTAAATTCGGAGCTGATAAATACATCGCCCTTAAAAATTTTATTGAGTCCAACATAATAATTTGGATATATATTATGACATTAAGTGAGCTGAAATTGTATTTTTTAATAACATATTTGAAATAATTGAAATATTTCAAATGTGAAACTTTGCTGCGACACTGTCTGTCTTAAAAATAAATGTAGTAAAGTAAAACTGCATTTTAAAAAAAGCCCTTTTGAAAAAACAACTATTTATATTAACTAATTCTAACAGAAAATATTAGCATAGCAAACATATTTCTCGTTTAATATAAGTCTAAAGTCAAATCTATAATAAAAATATCAATGTAAAAAAAAAAATCCAGAAGACAATCACGTTTATTTTGCATCAAAATGAGAGTATTAACCTGCACTCATAGTGACGTGTTGGCTATATCTTCAAAATATACAAGTGAGTTGGTTGATCCTACAGAGGAGTGAAGGTTACTAATGTTGGAGAATGGTGCAATTACTTCAAATTGTGCTTAAAACTGAGTAGAACTGCCTGTGCAGGAAATTATTTTATTGCACACCTTCCAGACAATCAGAATCAGGGGAAATTGTGAAAATTGTTTAGTTGTATTTTCGGTATAACAATGTCATTTTTTTAATGTAAGATTTCAGAAACCTCCTCTATAAAAACCTTTGATGCTTGTGTCAAAAGATTTTAAATTTGACAGTACAATGTCCTGAAAACATGCAAATTAGCACATGTTTAATTAAACAATGCGTCATTTGCTCATTTATTTAACCCTACTCAGCAGCAATGCCTCAATTAACCTTTAATTAACCAATAAAATCTTATCTTATCTGCACTACTTTCTTTAATGAACAAAGTCAACAAGCCGAGTCTTGATCTAGTCTGTGGTCTGCCAGCTCTGAGAGTGTGAAGTTCCCGTCTATTTATATTAATGGGGACGTGTGATGTTTGCATGAGTGAAGAGGCAAAAGCAGAGGTGGGCATGCGAAAACAAGCCTCGTTCTGACATATTCTGTGTGAGTGTGTGTTTCTCGTGTGATTGTGTCAGACTGTACCTGCTGTGGAAGATCTGAAGTGGCCCTGAGGTTGGGCTGGTGGTCTCAGGCATTGGGGTCTCTGCGGGGTCTTGCTGCGTGTCGTCATCGTGTGCTGGTTTGGTGTGGAAGGACGAGGAGGATCAGTGGATCTCGTTGAAGGATCGTCCAGCATATCGATGCCGTCCAAAGTGAAGTCCCACATTTCTGGGTCATCTGAGGAGAAGTGAGATTTTTAGTTTATATTCACCAAACGTCATTTGAAATTACTTTAACATTAGTGAGACGCATTAAAGTCAAATCTGAATATTCAGTCACTGATTTAGTCCATTTTGTGTCATTGCGAAATGCAAAAGATATTTTCTTGGTGTAAATAAGTAAAAGACCATATATTAATAATATAAATTTATTAATAATATTCTTCGATTGACAGAATTCATTTTTTATTTATGTATGCATTTAATATTGCCGTAAAACATTATAAGACAAGTATTCAGTCATTTTATCATTTGGAAAAAAAAATAATGATATTTTTTCATTAATACAGTTAATAGTATTAAAGGTGCTGTGATCTGCCAAAATGCTAATCGTTTTGCATAATATCTTTGAAAACACAGTCCCTTTACTGCTGCCCAAAGCCATGCCTCCTGAAATCATGAACGCACACCTTAAAGATGACAGTAGACAACCCACTAGATCATGTCATGCGCCAGTTAGAAATTTTTATAGTACTTTATAATACTACGATTCAGAATGGAAAAAAAATGTATTAATACTTTCAGAGAAAATGTAGTTTAATGATATAAAAGTATAGGGTATAAGCACAGCTAGTGTTTCTTCCCATAAAGATAAACTTCTGGTGAACGATTAATGTGACTTCTTTCAACTTTATACAGTTCTTTTTACAGCTTCGATGTTGTAATGTAAATAAAATATAATCAGTTTAATAGACTTCAGCATTTATTTAGTTGTTTAAGCGTAAAATTAGATAAAAAGCCTTTTACACGCAAATGCTGTCAGGATCAGCAGGCTAGTTCAGAAACTCCATTGAATATACTGGTGGTGCTAAAGTGATCATTTATCCCCCATTTTTCCCCAAAGTGCACACACACATCCCTTACCAGCCATATACTGCTCCTGCTTGGTCACCAGGTGTCCGTTTGGTGTACTATGGTTAACAGGACCTACACCCTGTTCTAAAACAATAAATTCACTGATGGAGAACACAAAAGACCTGACAGCCCTGCAGGTATATACTTCAATCTTTCATACTCATGGCTGAAACATGAACCCTTTAAGGGTTAGTTCAAAAATGAAAATTCTGTAATTAGTTACTCACACTCATGCCATTTCAATCCTCAGAGACCTTTGTTTAACTTCAAGACAGAAAGATATTTTAGAATAAATCACAGAGCTCACTCCGAGATGTTCAAAGTCCAGAAAAAGATCCAAAAACATTCCATGTGACTTCAGTGGTTCAATTGTAACACCCTGAATTATACAGGGCTTCAGTGCTTCCTATTAACAATGCTTCCTATTAACTTCGAATGGGTGACGTCAAGCGTTGCCGAACGGAATCATAGATCCGTCGGCGCCGCTTCAGCAGAGTTGCTCGCTGCAGAAGTTGTAAATTTGACAAAAAAAGTTCAATGAAAGATCAGATCACTTTATACAAATAACCGAGCTCAGACAGTAACCGATTGTGGATTCATTTCATTGGCCCCCAACTTCAGGCACGCCCTCCATTAAGTGTTGACACTGAAGCCCAGTGTGAATCAGGCGTAATCATAAGAAGCTCCAAAAACACTTTTTGTGAGATACAAAACAAAAAAACTGTCAAAATCATGTTGCCCATGTCCTTTTTAGACACATCAAGTCTCAATGTACGTGTACACTATGGGCAATATGAGGAATTTGTGTTTGTAAACGTGGAAGAGGAGACAGTGGTGAACAAAGTCATTTTTACAGGTATTTGCCACACAAAAGTGTTCTTAATGCTTTATATGATTACAGATTAGCCACTGAAGTTGTTGCATATTTTGCCACCAGTCCTATCAATAAATGATGAGGGATTTCATCTGGTTTCATCTAATTCTAAATGATCTTCATTTGGGTTCCAAAGATAAACGAAGGTGTCAGGGGATTGGAACGAAATGTGGGTAATTAATAACAGAATGCTCTTTTTGGGTGAATGAATACTTGAAGATCCCAGGACACTGAGTCTAAAATGTTTGTATGCATTTAAAAAAAATTGTCATGACTTTTGGTGTATATTTATTAATTTCTTGTTGCAGGGGAAATGCAACAAAATAAACAGGGTCTTCAAGCAGTTAAGATGATTTCTTTTATCCTAAAAAGAAAAAAAAAAAGTAAGAGGGAATATTGGGTCCATCCAATCCTGTGACTGCATACAAACTTTATATCAGGATTTAGATACAAAGATTAGTGTTGTGCTGTACTAGCGATTCAGGAACCACATATTAAAGACTGCAAAGTTCCAATAAACAATTAATTCTGAACAGAGACTGGCAGCATGTAAAAGGTATAGATATGTGAAACCCTAAACTGTGGCATAAAACCATTCTTGACATTAGCACTTTAACATGTACTGTGGCTCTGAACTTGTCAAAAGACCTCTTCAAATGTTTGCAACCGTTGTATTAGAAAAAAAACTGAAAATTGAGCCCACTTGAATTGTTTTTCTGACGTATGGAAGTTTCGGAGGCGGTGTGTTAACATGATTCACACATTATGACGTTGTGTTTATTTTTCAACATGTGAGATTTTCCAGCTTTGAGTGCACAACGATTTAAAAGTTCAAGGACCTTCAAAGTTCATCCAAAAATAATCATTTAACCATTGTGTTCTCATCCTACACTTGTTCAGAACCCCTTTTTTCCTTCTTCTGAAGCCTCCGTTGACCTCTGTAGTATTTTTTTCCTTACTATAGATTTTAGTAGCAATTGTTCAATCCACCTATCTTTATGTGCAATTTGAAATATTGCATTAAAAAGGCTCAATGGAAATCCCAAGATGTACATCAAATTTATACAATGATTTATCCGTACATGTAGGATAAACTTTTAATTCAATAAGAAAACTTATTTGCTGAAATTCCAGTATGCCCTAGTGCAGGGGTGTCAAGTTCAGTTCCTGAAGACCCACAGCTAGTAATGTGAAGTTGCATGTATCAAAAAAAATGATGGATCAGGGGGGGCCAAGTTGGAGCACTCACTCTGGTCCCCTGAGTTCTGCGATTGGTTGGGAAATTCCAAACCAAAACAAACCAGTACAATTGGCTTAAGATTAGCAATCAAAATTTGGAAAATGGCACCCTGCAGAACTTTGATTAGTTTGATCAGAAGTTTGATTAGTTTTGCCATCCATCACATGATTAGTGATGTCCGAAGCTTCATTTTCGCCTATACACACACGTGACTGCTTTAAATTTTGATTAAAGGTTTAAACACTGTTTCAAAGCACTGCACCGGTCTCACACACTAGTAATTCAACAAAAAAAAGAATAATAATAATTTATAGTATAAATCTTCAGGACCATACTACAGGTGTATAAGTGTATTAATTACAACTATTTTTAAGACCACTGCATATTGTAGTATGGTGTGTAATGGAGGCCAGCTGATGAGTGCAGCCTGAAAGCCTCACTCCCATAGCCTTCTCCTTAGTGCATTTGCTTCCCATGCAGGTTCAATCCCCGCTTGGAATGAGTGGGTGGGGGAAGGACCAGTTGGAATGAGATAAACAAATACTTTTGAATACCTTGGATTTTACTGCAGTCATCGGCGGTGTAGGTAACGTGTAAAGAACTACAGTAATTGAGTCATTTGTTTATATTACTATTGTTGTATTACTACATGAATGAGTTAGTCAGTTGTGAGTGTTTAACATTTTTGCAACACAGCGCTTTTCCATACTTTAACCAGCAAAGGTCCTCATCAAGCTCTAATTTGGAAAACTTCGAGTAACGAACTGTTTTTCGATACAATTCGAGTCGAACTGGTTCACAAAGCTTCATTTCACTATCACTACCCACAGCCCTACACAGTTCTAACCCTGCTTCAACACACTTGCCTGTAAGTTTCAAACAAGCTTGAAGGAGTCAATTAGTATGACCAAGTGTGTTTATTTAGAGTTGGAACTAAACTTTGCAGGCCTGCAGCCCTCCAAGAACACCCCTGTTTGATACCTCGGTCTGTGTGGTTGAATGATTTTTTTGAAGTCGACTTTTATATTATTGAAGTCAAGTTGACTAGTCGTTGATGATGTCATCAACAAAATACATGCACATGTTTCGCAACACGGCACTATTTGCAGAATATATATATATGTATATAAATATACACACATGCTGTTTTGAAGCTCATAACACATTGCAAAAACAATGCAACATTACCAATAACTAATTTTAGAGCAAAACAAATGCATTGTCGATACTGTTCAATTCGCTAACAATGCAACATTAGCACCGGCTAGTTTTAGTGCGAATTAAATGCAGTCAGCACATTGATGCTTATACGTTTAACTACAATTTTTTTGTGCAAAAGTAATGTATACGTTGTTAAAACAGAACACCGGTTTTGAGCATTTTGTCTTTTGATGCGCAAGTACTATTCTTTACCTTGTTTAATGTGCAGCGTGGGCTGCTGGTCTTTCTTCTCTTGCAGCAGCTTCTTAGCCTCCATCTCCTGTCTGAACTTCTGCTGCAGCTGCTGCTGTCTCAGCTTCCTCTGCTGCTTCGAGTCCAGCAGAGGATCAGACGAGGACAGCTCCGTGGTATCAGATGCTGACCTAAGAAAACAGAAACCGGATTTATCACAAGTGCAGCTGGCTAGCGTTGTACGTTGTGCATTGGCAGCAGCACATAAATTCACCTGGAGGTGTTGCTGGGCCTGTTTTCTGTATCCTGGTGAGTCGTTGTGTTGCCAGGAAGTGCCGTTGTGTTTGTCAATGAAGTCCTGGGCCCTGTGGCGCTCTCATGGCCTTCCCGTACAGGGAGATTTCCCATCTGCTCTATGGGGATGTTAGCTGACTTTTCCAGTTTGGTAAATTGCCTGCTGTTTGTTTGGGCCAGGCTGTCAAACCTGGCTTTCTCTACAGACGGCTCCAAATCGCTACGTTTGGTTTTGTCTGCGTCCAAAGGAGGAGGAGGCTGCGATGACAGGAAGTACACTGTATTCAGGTACATACAGATTGCTATATTTTGTTTTTTTGCAATATGAATTAGGGATGTAACGGTATCAGAATTTCACTGTACGGTAATACCTCGGTATGAATGGCACGGTATGGTATTTATTGAGTAATTTACAGGAAAACAAAACTAATGCAAATACTCGAAAAAAGTGCCAAAAGTGTTTATTTACCTTAGCACTGAACATATCAATGACATACAATTTAGCCATCTATCTGTAAGTTTCAAAACAGGAACTTCAATTTTTCAATTTTAATAACAAAAAAACTATAAAACCATGTAGAAAAAATAAAGTTTCAATTTAGTATTGTTGAAAACTCATCACATTCAACATTTAATCACTCACTCACTTGGATAGAGATGTAATAATATTTATTGGTACATAAATTATTGTTACAATCTTTGTGGGCATCTTTTATAAATTGCAGTAAAATTTTTATAATACATCTGTGTGTATTTATAATTATATATTATTATTCATATTATACAGTGCTCAGCATACATGAGCACACTCCTCACAAATCTCCCATTTAAATTCATATTTTCTATAGGAAGCATTACAATATTATGTGCATATATACATGTTATAGTCTGAATTTTTTTTTTTGCAATATTTAGCATGAATTTAAATGTATTATTTTCCATTTCTAAAGAGATTCTGTGAATAAAACATTATTTTAATAAATAAATTGGTTTAGTAAAAATGTTTTTTTTCAAATGCACCAATAAATATTGCCTATATTCACTAAAGAATGAACAAAAAAAAAATCAGTTTTCAAAATGGGGTGTACTCATTTATGCAGAGCACTGAATATCAATAAACGCATACGTGCTTATGTTTGACCAAATGTTTTTTTTTTTTTTTTTTTTTTTAGAAGTTATGTATAAATTTAAATGTCTATATAACAAAATAGTATTGTTTTTATGTATGTGTGTACATCGCACACACATACATATATATATATATATATATATATATATATATATATATATATATATATATATATATATATATATATATATATATATATATATATATATATATATATATATAAAATAAACACACAGATTTTACATCAAAACAACTTTTATTTTGGATGTGAATAATCTTTGGCCAGCACTTCTAATAATAATATATAAATAAATCCATAATTTTTTGCACAGGACATATTCTAATATATGAAAAAGTACATTTTTTTTAATGACTAAACATTCATGTTTAACCCTTATAAAATGACTTCTTACCTGCTTTGGTATTTTATTGATGGCGATAAGATACTCCTTGTTCAGAATACAGTTTCCAAGCGCATTTCCGAAACACCTTATTGGTAAATAAAATAAAATGAAATTATATTTCTATATTTCCTGTGATGGCAGTGTAACATTTCCAACATCATTACAAAAATTCTTCAGTGTCACATGATCCTTCAGAAATCATTCAAATATGATGATCTGGCATTTAAAAACATTTCTCTGTTCTTATCAATGGCGTAAAAACGTTGTGCGGCTTAATATTTCTATGGAACCTGACCTTTCTATTCTAATATATTTTCTAATATAAGGTTATAAATACCTTTACTGATGTTTTTAGTCAACTTCATGCATCATTGCAACATAAAAGCATTATTTCTTAATTCAATTTAATTTAATTTGTGTATCGCCTTTCACAATAGTTATTGTTTCAAAGCAGCTTTACAAAAGGTGCACATTATTGCATTAGCAATTCTTGTCATAAATCATATTGGTTAAAAAAATGTAATCCCTCCATGGGAAATTTAAGTCCCTTTAACTCAAGCCCTTTACTGTCATTCCATATTTTAAGGTCACACTTGAAAAATATGCACAGTTTATATAGTTTATCAATTTAAACTAAATATATTTAATGTACTGAAAAATCTTCCACCCAAACATCTTGGGACACGATTTTCACGTCATTATTTGGCAATTAGCAACTCTGTTTGAGTAATGCCGAGTTCAGACTGCATGATTTTCAAGGTAGTCGTGTCACAGATGTTTTCACACTGCTTGACTATCTGGGCTAGCGTTTCGTCGCTGCTTTGTTTACACTGCAAGATGGATTGGCGACAGGGACTTTCACATTGCATGACTTCACTATAGGAAGAATTGCCGACAACTACGTCTCACAGCCAAAAACACGTAGTATATCTTTTGTTATTAACTACATAATGAGAAAGAAGCCTTTAAGGGGGTAGAACATGTACATGTTTGCTCATCTGTGTTTAAAGGGAATTAGCTATTTCTCCTTAACGTTGATGATAAACTAACTTCTTTCTGTATGAACCGTCAAACAGACACAGTTGCTCCTGAGTCCTGTCAAACCTCCACTAGTTTTTCCTCCATTTCGTGGGTCCAAATAAACCGAAAAAGAGCGCTTTTAACTTCTCCCCCTGCCTCCCGATGACCTGCAGCAGGTATACACACATGCACACACAAGTGAAAGCTGCTCTCTCATTGGCTGTAGGAGATCGCTGATGTTATTTTCAGTCAAACTCAATTCACACAGCATGATTTGAATCACCGACGGCTCCAGATATTCAGCATGCCAAATATCTCACAGGCATCGGCGACTCATCTGGCATTCTCTCAGATCGCGTCTTTGATCGTTCATACTGTGTGATTGTCACTCACGTGCACGAGCAGCGATTTGCCTGTGATTTCAGGCATTTGTTGGCAATTTCTCAAAACCTGTCGGCGAGCTAAAATCACGCAGTCTGAACTAGGCATTAGGTATACACATCAATCAATTGATCACAGTGGTGGGGATCCTCAAACAAAATAAAAAAGCCAACCAAGACATATTTCATAGGGGAAAAAAAATCAACAATGTTTGTCTGCTTATTAAGATGATACTACAGTTCACAAACATTTATATACTCAAACTAAAATGGTTAATTCACATAGGTAAATAAACTAGCTAAATACAACTAAAGAAAATCCTATTACTTTAAAAAGAAATTAAAAAATATTTGCCATAGATTGACCAATCGAAATCTGATGTAGTTACTTGAGTGCTCTTTTCAATCCATCTGTGACAGCTTCTTTTCTTGCTTTTTCCAGGGACAGAGCTTTGGATTTGAGGCCTTCGCTGACCCCATATCCTACATCCTCATGAAATGAGCCATCCTATGGAGAAAAACACTGAAGAATTTAGATGCTACTCACAACTCTGTACTTCTGTATTGTCAGAGCTCTTACCTTTAACTGGACCTTAATGAAAGCACTGACTCCAACGTAAAACTTCCCATTGATCAGGTCCACAAAGTCTGGAGCACAAGATCAAATAAGGTTGTGTTGATGCTTGACAGTGTATCATTCAGTCATTCATTCATTCATTTTCTTTTCGGCTTATTCCCTTTATTAATCCGGGGTCGCCACAACGGAATGAACCGCCAGCTTATCCAGCATGTTTTTATGCAGCGGATGCCCTTCCAGCCGCGAACGCAGCGAGAACATGCAAACTCCACACAGAAACGCCAACTGACCTAGCTGAGGCTCGAACTAGCGACCTTCGTGCTGTGAGGCGACAGCACTACCTACTGCACCACTCCGTCGCCCAGTCATTCATTCATTCTTTCATTTATTCATTTTCCTTCAGCTTAGTCCCTTATACAGCAGAATGAACAACCAACAATTGCAGCATATGTTTTACGCAGCGGATGCCTTTCCAGCCACAACCCAGTACTGGGAAACACTTTTACACTCTCACATTCACACACCCACTCATACCAAATTAGTTACGTAATTCACCTATAATGCATAGAAACCAGAGCAGCCGGAGGAAACCCATGCAAACTCCAAACAGAAATGCCAACTGACCCAGCCGGGACTCAAACCAGCGACTTTCTTGCTGAGAGGAGACGGCACTAACCACTGAGCCACCATGGTGCCAGGTCAGTGTATTATCCTTATTAATAACAGTGACATTCTTATTAATCTGAATCATTTTAAACTAGAACTACACCAGCATTCTACCACTATTTTACTCCCTGATTAATATATTGAATATATTTTACAATGATGAAGTTTTATTATCTGGCTTTAATTATTTGCTGGTTCTTCTATGTGAAGCAGCTTTGACACAATGTGCAAAATGCTATAGAAATGAAAGTACTTGATCTGACTGAAACAAACTTTAAATGAAAAGAGTCATACAAATCTGGTGTGTTTTAAACAAGCAGACTGAGACCAATGAAAAGACAACTCTCAATCTGCTTCCAAATATCAAGATGTAAATATGGTTCAACTGAAAGATAAATTACATCATGAAATATTATACATATGAATATTCTATGTTTGGGGTTTTATTTTGATCAGGGCTAAACTAATGAAAACAATTTATATATATGAACAAACCAGAAGTCTTAAAGTAAAGTAATACAGGGCGTACTCACACTAGGTACAGTTGCCTTGAATTGTGACGAAGCGCAATTGTTCCCCCCCTCTCCCCATCTGCATTTTGCCTTCTGAACCTGAGCATGTTTACGTCATCAATGATACGACTGTTCAGTTTAACAGGAAAAGAAGTGCTCTTGCCGGGGATACAGTGACACGCAGTCAAACACTTTATCTGAACAGATCCAGCACTTTTGACACGCATAAAATGCAGCGAGGGGTTTTTGTCTTTAATAAACTACAACAGTTTGTGTTTATTGAAAAGTAAGAATGATTAATAAATCCATATGAAACAGTCACTTAAAAGTGACGTCACGTCGTAAGTTGCAGGCTCTGGCACGTTTTGCACTCACACTACAAGAGTATCGCGCTAAATCCCGAACGAACCACGCTCTGGCACACTTCTAACCAGGCCAGAGAAGGGGCCAGCCAACTGAACTGCGTCTGGGCGATTCAGAGCACTCACACTTGTCAAACAAACCGGGAAACGCATCTGGGCATGGTTCGGATAGCATAGTGTAAGTGCACCCTGTGTGTACGTACTTACCAACATTTTGTTGAGATATCGAGTGTGACCATCCATTGTACCCAAACATTTCATTGGCCAGGCTTATAACTTTGTGACCTTCAATGTAGCACACCTGCAAACACAAAAACAAGGAAAAACTATTACAAATGAATATTTCCGCCACCAGCTGAGTCTGAATCAGTGGTGCATTGAGACCCCTTTATCTAGAGCCACAGAAACACAGTTGAAATCAGTATTAATAAATCCTTTGAGTTTCATTTTCTTTTTTAAATATTTCCCAAACTATGTTTAACAGAGCAAGGAAATTTACACAGTATGTCTGATAATAATTTTTATTCTGGAGAAAGTCTTGTTATATTTCGACTAGAATGAGGTCAAAAGGTCAAAGTTATTAGCCCCTTTAAGATATTTTTCTTTTTCTACAGAATAAACCATCAATAAACAATAACTTGCCTAATTATCCTAACCTACCTAATTACCCCAATTAACCTAGTTAAGCCTTTAAATGTCACTTTAAGCTGTATAGAATTGTCTTGAATAAATATCTTGTAAAATATTATTTACTGTCATCATGGCAAAGATTTAAAAAAAAAATCAGTTATTAGAAATGAGTTAAAACTATTATGTTTAGAAATGTGTTTAAAAAAATCTCTACGTTAAACAGAAATTGGGGAAACAAAAATTGTTTTTCTTTTATAAATAAATACTTAATAAAGGATGGCACGGTGGCTCAGTGATTAGCACTGTCGCCTCACAGCAAAGGAGGGCACTGGTTCGAGCCCCGGCTGGGTCAGTTGGGATTTCTGTGTGGAGTTTGCATGTCTGCGTGGGTTTCTTCTGGGTGCTCTGGTTTTCCCCACAGTTCGAAGACATGTGCTATAGAAGAATTGAAGAAAACTAAATTGGCTGTAGTGTATAATTGTGAATCCGAGAGTATATGGATGTTTCCCAGTACTGGGTTGCAGCTGGCCTGCAAGGGCATCCGCTGTGCAAAACATGGATAAGTAGGTGGTTCATTTCGCTGTGGTAACCCCTGATAAATAAATTATTGGTACTAAACCAAAGGAAAATGAATGAATGAACTTAATTAATAAAATAATGATGCTGCCATCTTTCTAAAGTAACCTTTTCCCCCTAAATTTGGCCTAAATCTCTCCCCTAAAATAGATATTTTGACCACCTGGACTACAAATCAAACATACATCCATGACATTTAATATTTTGACTTTCATTAAAATTCATGCTTGTCCTTCTGATTAAAAAATACTTTAGCATTTTACATTGCTGAAATGTAATTGATGATTAGATAGAAAAAAGACAAACTTCACCTTTTGTCCTCCTCCAGCCTGTCTGGTGCTGATGTATTCAGGTCCGAGCTTCTGCCGCAGTGCATTCTGGACTGCCTGGTATTCCTCTGCACTGTATGAATACTACAACAAACAGTCACTAAATCATTTTCAATTCTGAAAATATCATAACATCAACACACTGTAATTCGTGTCTTTCTGTAGATGCTCTTATCATGTCAAACACAAGTCATCTACCTGCCCAAAACACGTGTTTGTTGTATGAGGTTTTTTCTCCTCTTGCCTCCCGCTGCTATAATCCATGTGTGTGTTTGATGCCTAAATCGGTCAGTGTTGTCTTTTAAGCGATGTTGTTGTTGCGTAACACGAGAGAAGGTTGCTAAACTGCTACAACATAACGCGCTAACGTTAGTTTACACCCATAACGCGTAAAAATCTTTCTGTTGCCCCAATAATATTAACATTTGACCGTTCAGTTACGGCTACTGTATGAACTTACTGATACTGAGAAACGAACACCGACATAATACAGTTTATCAAGCCCTTGGATAAGCGTTTGAATAACCCGCGTCATGACGTTTACGTCGCCCCGCCCAGTCTTTTTGCGTAAAACGTCATAGAAACAGGGAGCACGTCAGGGCGTGTACGATAGTCGCGTTTAAATCAGGTTACAGTCCAACGCAGGGGTGCTCAAAACTTTTTCCTATGAAGGGTCAAAACCAAATGTCATTGAGAGCCGTGTGCCGAAGGTAAATATACCAAATTATATTACATTAAAGTTGCCAACGTGTAATTTCTAGATTTATTTCATAATATTTCAAAATAAACAGAAACAATCACTTTGAATTGTATTAACTAATGCAGTATAACTTTTAAAATGATAACTTATTGCAATAAAAGCATAATTGCATTTATTACACAGTGTAGTTCAATGCTGAATGAATCTTGCTTTGACTTGATTTGCTAACCAAAGTCTCTGCATTGTCGGATGACAGTATCCATTTGTTAGAAATGATAGATTAGTGTTTCACTGCATTCGCAAAATCAGAATTAAAGTAAATATATTCTTACATTTTTTTAAATATATTTGAAGGATATTTGAAGTCCAGTTTAATAATTACTGCCTAAATTGTCGTCAGTATAGCATAACATTGAATAAATGCATGTCATAGTTCTTATTGAAAACAATTCATCTGTGCACTTAAAAAAAAAAATTGTGATTCATGTTTTTATTTTGTCCTGTTTATTTATGCTTTTGAATTCGATTACGGGACCTTGATTTTTCTTCTGACAACCTTTATCCTTGAAAAGTTAAAAAAAGTGTCTTTTATTAATATCTTAGTTTAAAGTGATGCATTGTCAGGGTTGGTGTTGTATATTACGATACAAACACCTAGCAATAATCTGCTTCACATTTTCTGTTATATTACAGACTTGTTTCTCTATATGTTAGTTCTTATAGGTTATATATTTTCAAACTACTAAAATGTCAATAAAAGTCACCGTCAAACTTTAGGGTTAAATTTTCTACATCAAAAATCAACAAAACAGAGATCAATGATACAATTCACAAGCCTAAATAAATAAAAAACACTTGTGAATCACAAAATACAGAAACTGGTATTTAAGAAATGTTTTACAGTGTGCATGTTTATTTATTTTTAATTCATTGAGAAATATTAAAGAATTTTACACCACAAAAGTTACTAAAATTTGAAAATGTTCCTATATTTTAAAAAGTTTTGCATACAAATGACAATCAATTTGTGTTAATTGTAGAAGCTGGCTCCCTGGCATGACGCAGCAGGTAATACAAGCAGCAATTTTGCATTGCACAACTTAAAAAAAGGTATATTTGTTCATCAAAATATTCTGAAACCACAGTTTCTCTGTCACAGACTATCACCTGTCTTGATTGTCTGCACTTGCTCTGTATTAAAATATACAGTGCATTCGGAAGTATTCATTGAGCTTCACTTTTTCCACATTTTCTTTTTACAGCCTTATTACAAATTGGATTAAACTCATTTATTTCCTTAAAATTCTACACACAATACCCCATAATGACAATGTGACAAAAGATTTGTTGAAAATGCTGCAAATTTATTAAAAATAAAAAACCCTGAAAAAAAATCACATGTACAGAAGTATTCACAGCTTTTGCCATGAAGCTCTAAATTGAACTCAGGTAACTTCTGTTTCCACTGATCATTCTTGCGATGTGTCAGCAGCTTAATTGGAGTTCACCTGTGGTAAATTCAGTTGATTAGACATGATTTGAAAAGGCATACACCTGTCTACATAAGGTCCCAAGGTTGACAGTGCATGTCAAAGCACAAACCAAGGATGAAGACAAAGGAATTGTCTGTAGATCTCAGAGACAGGATTGTCTCAGGCACAAGGCTGGGGAAGGTTACAGAAAGATTTCTGCTGCTCTGAAAGTTCCAATGAGCACAGTGGCCTCCATCATCCGTAAGTGGAAGATGTTTGGAACCACCAGGACTCTTTCTAGAGCTGGCCGGCCATCTAAGCTGAGTGATCGGGGAGAAGGGCCTTAGTCTGTGAAGTGATCAATAACCCAATGGTCACTCACACACAGACGAGAACCTTATAGGACAACTATATTAGTAGCAATCCAGCAATTAGGCCAGATTGGAGTGAATGTCAGGCGTTACCTATGGTGAAAACCAGGCACCGTTCATCAACCAGGCAAATACCATCCCTACAGTGAAGCATGGTGGTGGCAGCATCATGCTATGGGGATGTTTTTTAGCAGCAGAAACTGGAAAACTAGGCAGGATAGAGGGGAAGATGAATGCAGCAATGTACAGAGACATCCTGAATGAAAACCTGCTTCAGAGTGCTCTTGACCTCAAACTGGGGTGACGGTTTATCTTCCAGCAAGACAGTGACACAAAGCACACCGCCAAAATATCAATGGAGTGGCTTCACAACATCTCGGCGAATGTCCTTGAGTGGCCCAGGCAGAGCCCAGAACTAAATCCTATTGAACATCTCTGAAGAGATCTGAAAATGGCTGTACACTGTCGCTTCCCATCCAACCTGATAGAGCTTGAGAGGTACTGCAAAGAGAGAAAAAAATTCCCAAAGACAGGTGTGCCAAGCTTGTAGCATCATATTCAAAAGGACTTGAGGCTGTAATTGTTGCCACAGCAAAGGCTGTGAGTAATTATGTACATGTGATTTTTCAGTTTTTTTTTTTTTTGTTTTTTTTTTGAGGAAATAAATTAATTTAATTCAATTTGGAATAAGGCTGTAACATAAAAGAATGTAGAAAAAGTGAAGCGCTATGAATACTTTTCAGATGCACTGTGCATGTGTGCAGGCACATAGTGTTCCTTTATCTTTGTACTGGCATGCATAAAACAACAATTAGTCACTTACACAGAATCCTTTGAACATTTTGTTTTTTGAGTGTCATGATGCGAAAACCACAAACTGTTTCTGTTTGTTGCTTAAAATGTACCTTTAGTCAACTTCAAAAATCCCACATTCATCTGCCTCCATTTTGGAGAGCAACTTTAACATGCAGTCATCAACTCTTTCATAGAACTAATGCATTCTACTTTTTTGCGCTAGTCTATGATGGGAATGTTTGAAATTAGATTGCCACAAATAACAAAGCAAACTTTTGTGAAAATGAACTAAAAATGACATTGATAAACTAGAAAAACACTCTGAAACAAAAAACAACTAATTAGGAAAAAAGTGTTCATATAAGCTGCATTCTCAGTTCAGTTTTGAACACGCTGCCAAAGTTTTTGTTTTTCAAGATTTCGTTTGCACTTTGCAAATTTATGTTTACCATTCTAGTACAGAACTCTACTCTGAAGCAGATTTTTTTATTATGTGCGACACTCTCTACATCCAGGACCGAGAGCTGACAATCAAAATCTCAGTCGGTGTAGATTACCTCAGGAGAGATCCGTGCCACAATGGCAAAGGTAATTTGTGAAGAATTTTTTTTTTTTTTTTTTTGGTGAAACTTTCAACAACAACACAATAAAAATTGCTCTTAGCAAAACTGAAGTCGACAAAGAACATGAATAACTGATAATAGTATAGTGAGTAGTGTATGTGTGTGAATGCAAGAGTGTATGGATGTTTCCCAGTGTTGGGATGCAGCTGGAAGGGCATCCGCTGCGTAAAACATATGCTGGATAAGATGGCAGTCCATTCCACTGTGGCAACCCCGATTAATAAAGCGACTAAGCTGAAAATAAAATGAATTAACTAGTATTATTACGCCAATGTTAAACGGTGACACTTTTAGCCTTCTAGTTGGAAGACAAATTGTTTTCAGATCTACACATATCTGCAGAGCTCAATAGCCTTGTTCTGGATGATAAAACTCCACTATAGTTTTAAAATTAATAATTATTTTTGAGCTCAGATATATTTGCTTTTGTTGAAGCCATGTTTGCATGTAGGCAACTTATTTTTTCATTCATTCATTATTTTTCCAGCTCAGTGGAATGAACCGCCAACTTATCCAGCATATGTTTTACGTGGCGGATGCATTTCTATATAGAGTTTGCATGTTCTCACTGTGATCATGTGGGTTTCCTCCGGGTGCTCCGGTTTCCCCCACAGACCAAAGACATGCGCTATTGGTAAATAGGATGAATTAAATTGTAGGCAGTAGTATATGAGTGTGTGTATCTGAATGTGAGAGTGTATTTCGTGAGTAGTGTGTTTCCCAGTACTGGGTTGCGGCTGGAAGGGCATCTGCTGCGTAAAACATGGTGGTTAATTCCACTGTGGTGACCCCTGATTAATAAAGGGAATTTATGTGTATCCTACTCATTTTAATTATATTGTTTTATTTATAAGGTTGGTTTTATTTTTGCCTTATACCTGGTTCCCAGTACATTTAATGTTGGTTTCTAAGACAGAACGGCACATTTTCCTTTAGGTTCTTTTTAAAGTTTTTACAACAACAAAAAATTATTACTTCCTCCAACATTCTGAAATGTTAGAATACAACTAAACACACACACACACACACACACACACACACACACACACACACACACACACACACAACAAATAATGTTATAGTTTGCTTACCATAAAACAAAATAACCAAATAAAACCAAACAGGAACCATTAGTTCACCATTACAATTTAAAGGACACCCATTTTACCCTTTTTTAAGATTTAAGATGAGTCTTTTGTTTCTTCAGAAATTTTCAGTAAACTTTTAGCTCAAAACACCCTTCAGCGTAATTATTATAGCTTTCAGAATATTGGATTTTTTTGCTCAGAACACAGTGTAGCTGTTTTTGTTGCCTGTGCCTTTAATGCTAGTTCTCCCCGCCCACGTTCCCATGTGCCTGTCAGAGTGTGCCTCAATCTCCACCTCGGCTGCATCAGATAAACAGCACAGTGGCAGACATGAAGGAAGCAGATCTGTTGTAACGCTTGAGAGAAATGCTACAGTAAGAACTTTCCCAATGATTATTTGATGTATTTGTTGTGGAGTTGCAACGATGAGTCACACACAATGTCGTTACAAAGTTCATGCACGCACACACAGACACACGCACAGCACGTTTGTTTAACTTAGCACTGTTTTTGCAGAGCAAATGTGACAGGATACACGTTAATATACACTGCTGTATGGATATTCATTATGTTAATGCACAAAATAAACTCGATTCAGTGTCTACAAGCCGGCATTGAAGCATCTTCTTTTATAATTGTACTGACATGTGGCTTCGATGATAAAATCGCTGTAATTAATTACAAACATGCACTATTTTAGGAATGTTTTAAGCTTGTAAAACTTATTCTTGATTACATTTGATGATGATTGATGATCACAGTGAGCTAAACGGATCTATTAATCACAGTTGCTTTGCGCACGTCCTGTCTTGTGGATATGATTATATGTGTCACTACAGAGACATATTAATAAGGGGCTGTCAATCAATTTGGTGGGTGGGGAAAACCGCACTCTACGTCACGTTGTGGTGGGCTTCTAGGCCCCATTTACACTGTTAGGTCTTGATGCCTAATTCCGATTTGTTGCCTATGTCAGATTTTTTTTGTCTGTCCGTTTTCTTGTTGTTTTAATTGTGACCCATATCCAATTCATGTGTTTACACTTGCCATAGAATTTACGATGTCCTGCATGCATAAACGCGGGTTCTAGCATCTGTGCCACACTAGCCACGATGGAAGAAATGTTCTTGTTTTTAGCTCTGCGAAAAATACGAAGTGCAATATAAGTAGTGAATGGTTAGGCCAGATTTACCCATGCAGTTTATATAATGGTATGGCCCTAATGTGTGTATGTAGTGGAAGATGTAGCCTTTGCCTGTGTGCGCACTGGTGTTGGAGGGAATAAAGTTGTTATATGTGTAGCCCGCAGTGCGTGTATTAATAGCGACAAAAAGCTAAAGTTACAACACGAAGTTCGCCCAACTTTAAAATGATTTTGAGGCGGAGGAGGTGGGAAAGGGCCATCATCGCAGCTTGCGCTTATGGTTTATTTGCTGGACGATGTCCTCCACTCCACCATTCAGAGGAGAGAGAGTTCCCAGGTCTGGTGGGAGAAAATTGTGGTGACTGACCACTTTCCTCCTCCATGTTTCCTCTGCGGTTGTTGTTTACCGCGTCGGCATCTCCACACACACTCTTCCTTCTACGTCATTAAGCCACAGAGAAGCACCACATTTTCGCAAGTTTAATGATGTACAAAACGGAAGGCCTCAATAAATCCAATCTGCCTGTTTACATGACAGTCGCATTGTCACATATCCGATTTATATTTGATTTATTTCCACATATGAAGGAGGCCTGAAACCGATCTCTGAATATCCGAATGCATGCGTTTTTTTCATGTTTACACGGTCATAGAACAGATGCGATCTGTGTCACATATAAGCCAAAAATCGGAATTGGGTCACATTTAAATGGCAGTGTAAACAGGGCCTAAATGCGAGGGATTTGGATTCTATTTTAACGTCAGGAAAACTATCTTGTTGTCTTTTTATCACCCCAATATGACTGTGGACACACTATACCTACTCACAGTTCTGTCCGAACATCTTACAAAAGATGATTTTCATCATAGGTGCCCTTTAAATTCCTTTGGGGGAAAAAGAATTGAGAAATAAGTTGAGAAGAAGAAAAAATAAGTTGAGAAGAAGCACTGCTGAAATAATGTAAAATTGTATTTAAAACATTTGAGTTCTCTACTCCACCTCTTCAAGATTATTTATTGGTTTGCAAAAGAACATCCCCGTCACTGTCAACTCAGCAGGGATTATCTCAATATAAATACGGGATCCGAATAAAGATTGAGGTCTGCTTGCAGCCTGCAGTCACTGTATGGATTGAATATGGATTGAGCATTAACCATTGAGCTCATAAATTATTTCCTGCGTTTGCTTTTATTAAAAATTTCGAGACCCTAGTTTAAATGAGCATTTTCCAGTTTCATTTAAAGCACATTTTGACCCTTCGCACAATGGCGCGCGCGCACGTGTTCGGGCGTGAACGCGCCCACAGTCTGGACTGGCGTCTGGTCAGACAGTCTGCAACTCGGGAAGAAGCGAATAGGAGGGGCGAGAATTGGGAATGCCACAGGAATGATCCATTAACCCCGCACAGCCCAACATCCGCATGTATGGATTAGTTACTCCCGAAGTGTAATCCATCATCTCTATTGTATCCGCGCGCATTGAACTTCCTTCAGTATCTCCGACTGCTCACATTCACTTTGCACGCGGAGCACATGACGGTGAGTTCAAAGATTGTTACCGTTTGCGTGGAGTCTGAAAATAAATCGGGGTTTAATGTAATGTTTCGTTTTCCCTCGGATGAATGGTGCATTGTTGCGTTGTTTATGAATAACAAACGTGCCATGTTCACCACAAGGTACATTGAGTACCCAGTGCGTCAATCCCGCCATGAATAACTTACAGCTATACTGATGGAATATGTGAGCAACTGAAAATGATGCGGATTGTTTGATTCCTGACTACGTTTAACTGTGCATTCAAGCGATATCTGTCCGTCCAGCGTGGAAAAAGATGCCCTCTCCTCTCAGATATCCTTCTCGGGTGTTACCCAGACGTTGTCGTTTTACCTGTCTGCACTTTAAAAAGGGAAATGGACTCCTCCTGCTCCGGTAAAACACCGTGGCGCGTGTCCTGGCACGTTCACTGAACAAAGGGAAACTGACGCGATGCTTCAGGGAAAGTGGAACATAAAGCAAAGTCACGTATTTAGGTCGAGGCTGTTGGGATGCGTTTGTGTGTTTTTAAGAGCCTAGAAAAAGCTCTTACGGCCGCGTGAGCAAATGATGACAGCCTGATGCAAGACAAGTCTTTTGTTGTAGTAGCCTATTTCTTTTGCGATGCTCTTTTCTAGATGCTCCGGCAGGGGGCGCGAGCTGTGTTGTGTTGCTGAGGAACACATGGAGAATGAATAACGTAAACAAGCACATCGATCCGTTATTTAACGGCAACCGAGATGAATAAGACGTGCGCAATTATCGGGGAAAAAGAGTTTACATTTGTAATAAATGGTTGTAATACGATCTTATTTTCTAAAGTTTTTTGCTAAACGCTTGCATCAGGGAGTTAGTAAAATTTAAAGGGAGAGTTCTACTATATATATTTGCACTTGCACCTCATTTCGTTCAAAACGAAATGTTTTAAAGACTGTGTTGGTCACCATTATCTTAAAAAACATTGAATGGAAACTGGTGCTGTAAAGTGCATGACCACATTCGGACAGATTCGTAAACAAATGGATAAACTGACGTTATTTAAACTGTGTTTTGTTAATACATGAAGTAACATCGCAGTGTTTATTATAAAGGATTATGGATGAATGTTCATGTGCCCCTCATAATGTTTCATCCAAATAATTTAGCGCTCTCGGATACAAAAAGAAAATCCTTTCTTTATGACGAGTACACTAGCGTGAGGGTGGAGCAACCTGTCACTCACATCCGAGATATTACAATATGAAACTAGACAGTAAAGTTCGTCGAGACAAACTTTGAGGCTGGCTTGACAAAGCCTGTTGGTAATAGTTTATTTAGATAAAAACAGTTTGAAAAAGTATAAATAACATATTAGCATGATTCTAGCATGGATTAGCATGAATTAGCATGTTATTAGCATGATTCCAGTACAAATTAGCATGTTACTAGCATGATTCTAGTATGAATTAGCGTGTTATTAGCATGATTCTAGCATGAATTAGCATGTTATTAGCCTGATTCTACCATAAATTAGCATGTTATTAGCATGAATCTAGTACAAATTAGCATGTTATTAGCATGATTCTAGCATGAATTAGCATGTTATTAGCATGATTCTAGCATGTTACTAGCATGAATTAGCATGTTACTAGCATGATTCTAGATTTATATTTTATAACATACAACAGTCCCGACTCCTCCTAAATAATTCAACATAGTGGTTAAAGCAATATCACCCGGTTTAGTTAACTCAAGGCAGGGCAGGGCAAGTCTATTTATATAGCACATTTTATACACAGCGGCAATTCAAAGTGCTTTACATAAACATGAATAAAAGAGACAAGTATAAGAAAATAAAAACAAATAATAATGATTAAAACTGATTAAAATGTGTTAAAACAGGTTATAAAATAATGAAGAAAAGTAAAACATAATAGTGCGATCTGTCGGACGCAGCACAGTGCTCATTTAGTAAAGGCACAGCTAAACAGATGTGTTTTCAGTCTTGATGTGAATGTGCCTAATGTTTGAGCACATCTGATCATTTCTGGAAGCTGGTTCCAGTAGAGAGGGGCGTAGTAGCTGAAAGCTGATTCACCCTGCTTTTACTGAATTATTGGAATTTCTAGTTTATATGATACTAAAGATCGGAGTGATCTGTTGGGTTTGTATTCAGTGAGCATATCTGTAATGTATTGAGGTCCTAGGCTATTTAGTGATTTATAGGCAAGTAATAATACTTTAAACTCTTTTCTGAATGTAACTGGGCGCTAGTGTAATGACCTGAGGACAGGTGTGATGTGCTCTGATTTTCTGGTTCTGGTCAGAATCCTTTTGACCAGGATCCTTTCTTCTGGTTCTGGTCAGAAAGAAGCATTCTGGATGAGCTGCAACTGTCTGACTGACTTTTTGGGAAGGCTCGTGAGAAGTACAGTAATCCACTCTGCTGCTGATAAAAGCATAGACAAGTTTCTCTAAGTCTTCACTAGAAACCAAGCATCCAATTCTTGCAATGTTTTGAGACGATAGTATGCTGATTTACTGACTGCTTTGACATGACTAGTGAAACTCATATCTGACTCCAGAACTACACCAAGATTCTTGACCTTATTTTTTGTTGTTTGACCCTTAGAACCAAGTTAAAACCTAGTTAAAAGTCACTCTAGATTTAATCCAAGGAGCTCAGTGGATATTTATCCTCCTTTGCTATTAGAAGGTAATGTAACAATGGGTTTCTGCGTTAAACTTTTCAATTTAAAAAGAAAATTTCTTCTAGAAGAAAGTTTTACTGGAGGTCCTTGGTTAAGGGTATAAACTGGCTTTTACCAGGGAAATATTGCATTTTCCAACAAGGCAAAAGAAATTTGACGTAAAATTTGTCTGTTAAAATTCTAGTATTTCTACATTTTTGGACATCGACAGCTCCTGTTCTTCCTGCAAACATGCAGAGATTAAATTAGTACATATACATGCCAAATTTTTTGATCACATTCAGAAATTCGCAAATAATTACCCATTCTTTCCTTCTCAGTTAGAAAAAAATTAAACTCCCTCCTAAAATCACTTAATCTTATTAGGAATAAAAACCTAAGATTCCTGATATATTATACAGATGTTTTTAAAGAAGATCCTTGATTTTAGTTGATTTCCCAATGGTTATTTGTTTAAGTGTCATTTTAATTTCATTTCTTTGTCTAATTTTGTTTGTTTAATTGTGTAATTTTATTATTATTATCAATACTATAAAATTAGTATTTTTATTATTTTTATTTATTTATTAGTCATTTTTTTCCCTTTCTCTCTATTGATATGTTATTTGTATGCATATGTGATTATTGTTTTTCTTATGACCATGTATATTATTGACCTCCTAAAGACCTATCTGTGATCCCCTGGACTTTCTGAGGTTCTTATCAATTCAAGCTATAAAAAATAACAATAACAAAAACAAAAAGCCTGTCACTTGCATGAGTTCAGTCAAATGCGAACCACACCAAATCCTGTCCTTCTAGATGGACAAATCAAGTCTTTTTTTATTCAAGAATCATTTTGGAGATATAAATAGATATTACAGTTTCTGTTTTATGCCCACTTTGGTGGGTGGAAGGTCACCTTTTTCATTAGTTTGCTTGTTATTACCCATTCATGCTTTAGTTAAATTACATTTTTCTTATTGATTTTTGTGGATTAATTGATTGCAGTTTGATAAATAATAAGCTGATTCGGATCTACAGTAATCTTTAATTGGTAATCTTTAATCAACATTTCAACAGACATGTGATTGAAAATGCTTAATTTTTAAGATACAAATGTGTATTTCACATAAAAATAAAATAAAAAACATTAGAACATTGTGATATATTTTGCTGACCTAATTACTTACATTATCCCAAATATTTCAAAGAATGTTCACTCCAGAGAAATAAACAATTTTAACTAGTAACACGGACTGTGTCCTGTGTCATCATTCTAATGAGGTCATACATGCTCGAATTTTGGTTTAGTTTTATAGAAAACAGGAAAACACCAAAGATGCTTTAATATGTTGTGAGTTTTATTAGACGGCACAGAACAGCATTATAACAGAACCATAAACTGTATTTAGCATGATAAAATAGCTTTGTAATGTAATGAAGATCACAACTCCCGTGATTCCACACTCAGTCACGACATCATCAAAATACGCCTTTATTTGTCAATAGACACTGTCTAGCTGCCAAAATTACAAACTGTATCTCTAACTTCCATGCATAACCATAGGTTTCTTTTAAAATACACACATACTTAGTGATGTGTGATCTAATTTGACTTTATTTGTCATGAAAAGTGTCTTTTGAACACTTATGCTTGATTCACACCAAAAACAGAATTAAGTATTTGCACAAGTAAATAACTTAAAGTCTATGCAAATGCAAGAAGAGAGGTGAATTACCCAGCATGAAAGACATGAAATAGATGACTCGTTTCTCAAGCAAAAATATTATGTGAGGGGAAAAACATCCTATGTGTAAACTAAAGCAAGTGACGTGGTGTCTGTGTTTGGTGTAAACTAGGCCTGGGCGATTAATCGAAAGATAATCCAAATCAACATTTAGAACCTATAATTAGTCAAAATTTTCCACGTCAGTTTTTGCTATTTCTTTCCCTCTTGTGTGTGGAGTCTCACGGCCCCATTCTGTTAAGGCTGATTTATACTTATTATATTATAATTTATACTTATATTGTCACTCGCACCCTTATAAAAAAAACCTTAGCTACACATCACAACTATTAGAACTACACGTTACTATCACAAAACCTGTCACTATATGTAACTTGTAAATAAAATAATCTTTCATTAATCGCAATTAAGTAAAAATGTTCAATTAATCAAATCACCCAGCCCAAGTGTAAACTTAGGATTACATTGTCTATTAGTATGCTTAAGGGGGTCGCACACTGGATGCACTACTCGGCACCACACACATAGCGCCATGCATTTTAGAATTGTAAACAGATTTCTATCAGGGTACGCTCACCAATGCCGCAAGTCGAGAGCCACAGAGCGCCATCGAAATAGCTTCATATTAAATAACATTCAAATACGTGCGCTTGTTGTGCTATACTTCCAACTGTCATGTGTGCGGCATGTCGTGGCACTGAGTGGCAAATCCACTGTGCGACACCCTTTAGGCCCTGTCCACACAAACAGGACTTTTCAAAATCACAGTTTTTTTTCTATGCATTTTGGCCATTTGTCTACACCAGGGGTGTCCACACTCGGTCCTGGAGGGCCCCGCAAAGTCTAGTTCCAACCCCAATCAGACACACCTGGGCTAGCTAATCAAGCTCCAAAGCTGCGGTCACACTGGGCTTTTCCTCCCATAGACTTCCATTCATACGCACGCGAATGCGTCAGACCAGAAACGCAGGGTCATGCGTTAAGTTTCGCAGGTTGCTGCGGTGCAAAGTTTAAGCTTGGTGAACTCTGACCTGCGAAATCGCATCACTTGACTGCGTGAGACCAATCGAGGATCAAAACATGATCTCTCTGGACAGAAATTTAAACCACGAAGCTATCGCTAGCTTTTTTAAATGTCTAATTATCTTGTTTAATCCCGCCCCTTTCGCAGCGCAGCACGACAGAATTTTGCATTATCAAACGCCAGTGAGACCGCTGCTTTACTAAGCTTTCTAGAAACATCTTTGCAGGTGTGTTGAGGCAAGTTCAGGTCAGTGCAGATAATATTATATTTCCTACATATAAATTATGCACATTATTTTGACGCTCTTCTAATAATTTAGCAGGTCAAGCCCCCTGGAAATCAGTTCAGTGGGTCTGACAGTTACACTTCTGCTTCAACACACTGCTCATTATTTCTCCTGCTTTATTTTTGTCATCAGAAGCACCAGAGATGTTCTGAATGAAAAGAGGATCTGGCAACCTTTGGATAACAATGCTGGAGAACTTGAGTGGAGGCCACAGCGATCGACCCTCCTCTAGATCCTCCTCCACTTTCAGCTTCTCCAGCCTGTTCGCTCTGCCGCACCACCTTCACATGGATGGAAGCAGTCATCCATTCAGGAGGTACAGCAGATGTTGCGAGTGGAGCCATCACACATTCACATCCGCCTATACATACTCACATCCTGTTATTTGTTTGTGATGTCCTGTGGTTTCCTTTGTTAACCTCTATGCTAAATAAGCCACATTCAAAAATATACCAGTGTGACCAACTGCTGAGGAGACCCTGTTTGTGTTTGTGATGAGAAAAATGACTCACTTCCCAGAACCAGAATGAGTTAGTTAAAATGAATGTCAGATCAATGAGTGTTGACAGGAGCAGGGGGAAATGGATCAAATTTTTCCAGGCTAAAATCAATAGAGAACTGTCAGCGCCATACATGACACATGCTATGAAAGCTAATAGATTTATTGATTTTTTTTATATAAGAGTATGCAAACAAAATAATGTTATTATTTATTATTAGCTTATTGTTGCATTATTATTGTGAATAAATTTTATATTTGTTGGGCAAAGATTAATCGCATCCAAAATATAAAGGTTAGTTTTTACAGAATATTTGGTGTGAACTGTGTATAATTATTATCTCTATATATATATACTTTTTTGTTTATTCTATGATTAAATATTGCAATATGTACATAATTTCACTACAAGACTTGAATAACTATTTGGAAATATTTTATAATTTTAGATTGATTGGGATTCTGTAGGGGAGTACATCTGGTTAAAATATATGAAAATAATCTACAAGCGTAAATGCATGCAATAAAGAGAAAGATACTAATTAAATAAACAGCGTTTTATTGTTTTTCGATGAGTTGAACTGTATTCAGGTGTACAGTAAATAAATAATCAAAGATAAAATGATCCTGCACATATTTTTGTTTTATAAATAATTAATTCGTTATTAATTTGTCAAAGTTACAAACGGTACAATTTCTTAGGTCTGAACGCTTTTAAAACCCTCACAATCACAGGCTTCAAGCACACTAACGAAATTATAAATTATAATCCAGACTCAACATGGCTGATGCGATATATTGTGTATTATATATGTGTGTGTGTGTGTGTGTGTGTGTGTGTGTGTGTGTGTGTGTGTGTGTGTGTGTGTGTGTGTGTGTGTGTGTGTGTGTGTGTGTGTATATACACATATATATATATACAGTTGAAGTCAGAATTATTAGCCCCTCTTTGAATTTATTTTTCTTTTTTAAATATTTCCCAAATGATTTTTAACAGAGCAAAGAAATTTTCACAGTATGTCTGATAATATTTTTTTCTTCTAGAGTATTCTTATTTGTTTTATTTTGGCTAGAATAAAAAGAGCTTTTAATTTTTTTATTAAACATTTTAGGGGCAATATTATTAGCCCCTTTAAGCAATTTGTTTCTCGATAGTCTACCGAACAAACTATCGTTATACAATAACTTGGCAAATTACCCTAACCTGCCTAGTTAACCTAATTAACCTAGTTAAGCCTTTAAATGTCACTTTAAGCTGTATAGAAGTGTCTTGAAAAATATTTAGTGAAATATTATGTACTGTCATCATGGCAAAGATAAAATAAATCAGTTATTAAAACTATTATGTTTAGAAATATGTTGGGGAAAAAATCTTCTCTCCGTTAACAAATTGGGGAGGACACAGGGGCCAATAATTCATGGCGGCTAATAATTCTAACTTTACCTGTGTGTGTATGTATACATATATGTGTGTGTATCTGTGTGTTTGTTTGTAGTTCTATTATATTTTATATAATTAATTCAATATTTAGTTTAATCTAAATAATTATACACAAAAATGTTTTACTAAATGAATACTAATTATACTATTTTATTTAAATATTACATAAATAATTTGTAATGTTTTATTTTATATAAATTTTATATACATATATATATATATATAATTATATATATATATATGCAAAGTTTCAGAGTGCAGCCAACAATAATACAAAGCTCCTGATTTTGATTTTCAGCAGCTCACACTGAACAGGAGCCGCCGCCTGTCACTCCCTTGCACTGGGAGTGAGAAAGAAAAGGGAGTTTTTGTGTTGCATAACCATTAAACAAGATCAATGTATCCTTGTGTGTTTGTGTGCGTGTTTGTATGTGTTTTACAGAGAGAGAGTGAGTGAGGAAAGGATGGAAATGTAATGTCAGGAGGAAGGAAATTGGTTGCTCAACAATAAAACTGTAGTTTCCTCCATCTGCATCTGTCAAGCTCCTCCTCTTCTCTCACTTGTTGTTGTTGTTGCCGCTCTAGACTAACTGTACTGTACGTGTGTTTATTGCTCTCTTTCACCATGAGGACTCTGTACCGGCTGAAGTTGGTCAGTTCTCCAAATCTGAGTCAGCTGGGCAAAAGTGAGAAGGCTTCACTGGAGGAGAGAGGATCAGGTCCAAACGCCACATGGAACAGGTTAGCGGGTGTTTAATAGGCAGCTCATTTCTTAACTGAGATGCATGTTTATGTCACTAAACTGGGCTGTTTTTCACATCCAAAACAGTACTATAGAGGAGTATATTTTAATTCATAATTAATAGGTACGTTTTATTAGATTTTTTTTTTTTTTTTTTTTTTTTTACAAAATAGTTTTTTTTCTCGTCTTTCAATTTTTGTTTCTCCCCTCAATGTACAACAATCTTGTGTTTTATTGTTGTATACTTATACTAAATATGATATTGTTTTATTAATATGTTTTCATTGCATGCCATTTTATAGAAAAAATAAAAGTATATATATAACTGTTGTATATAAAGCATAAAATAAAATAATACGTTTTTTTACTCACTAAAATTAATTTTAAAACGAATAAAAAATATAATTATGGATAAGTTTTAATTTTACAATTAATAATAATATATTTTAAAATAATAATATTTTATTAATTACAAATTGACTGTTGTACTGTTATATTGACTGTTATAGTGGATTTTTTTGTTTATTTGTCTTTACATTGTTTTATTATTTTAATTATTTAATCAAGTCTTTTATTGGTCTCATTATTGGTTGTTCGCTTATTGGTCTTAATTAATTATTGGTCTCACTTTGCTCCAATTCAAGAGCAAGGTTAGAGGTTTTTTTTTTTTGCCCGACTCTCCTGATGTATCTTACTTCCGTTTTTTAAATGCTACCTCCTGTGACCTGTCTTTCCCTGAAAATTGTAATGTTTGTGTACGGTCAGGGGGGTTCAGTTTTACTATACAAAAGTGTATGTGACAAATAAAGGCCTGGTTTGATTTGATATTTTGCTCTTTTTTTTACTGTAATGCATCTGTGTTGTTTTACTTTTGTTTGTTTGGCATCCTTATTACTTTTCGTATTTAATTAAAATCCATCTGTTTGGAAAAAGTGATCTTATAAAAAATGCCACACGGAACAGGCTTATACATATGTTTTATCTGCATATCATAATCATCTGTGTCTGTCATTTTATTGCAGCATTCACAACGCAGTTATTGCTGTTTTTCAAAAGAAAGGACTGGCAGACAATGAACTCTATACACTCAACGAAGGCGTGAGGTGAGAAAAAAACAAGATACTGAGCTAATGTTTATTTTCATAAAAACAGATAATGGGTTTTGTGAATAATTAATTTGTAGCATAATAAAGCTGTCTATGTGCAGCCGTGTCTAAAATGAAAAATGTCTGAGGATCACATTATCAGCACTGAACAGTTGTCAGAGGACGCATGGTTTCAGTTTGCTGTTACGTAACTATTAAAGTTGTGAAGCAATAACAACCCAAAAAGATGAAAAACACACTGTATTTCACCCCAAAATGTAAGGAGCTATGGTTGATATGTTTATCCTAATTAAGTACGTTTTCCACTCATTATCATTACGGCAATGTGTTTTCACTTTCCATTTTACTTCCTAATGTTAGAAACCTTATTTTAAATATGTAATTCTTATGTTTATGCCAGAATTGTATATATTTTTATAAGGATATATTACCAATAATTTATATATATTAACAATAATACAGATATATTACAGATATAAACATTCATAGCACAACCTTGAAGTACAAGTGTGTGTGTGTGTGTGTGTGTGTGTGTGTGCGCGCGTGTGTGCGTGTGTGTGTGTGTGTGTGTGTGTGTGTGTGTGTGTGTGTGTGTGTGTGTGTGTATGTGTGTGTGTGTGTGTATACATACACACACACACATGCTGTATATGCATATTAATAAAAGCGATGTGTTTGCTACTTTTGTATTTTTGTCATATTAGTTCAGTAAAATCGCTGTCCATTGAGACTAAAATCCCCTTTTCTTCCATGTTCAAAATAACACTTCCATCACAGAAATGTGAGGCTCTGCCATCTTGGTTCTGTCTGTTCCTCTGGAGAGCTCATTCTCTCATTAAGTGTAATTCAGCATGATTACACTAATTGTAATTCTGTAAATTAGTTTTTTAAAGCGAATCAATCTAAAAAGTAACCATTTCAACATTTTTAAAAAGTAGCTTAAATATTATCACTTAACTTTTTAAGTAATGTGTTATTTTACTCATGGCATTACTTGCGTTAAATGTAATGTTAACCCAACACTGTATGTATGTATGTATGTATGTATGTATGTATGTGTGTATTTGAATAAAAGTTAAGAAAAAGCATAGAAAAAGGTACAATTTTGGGAAAAAAATTCTAAACATGTACTATGATTGAAACCTTTAGATTTGGTAAGATTATATTTAGCAAGGATGCATGACACTGATGAAAAATTACAAAAGATTTTTATACTATTTCAAGATATATTTCAACTAAATATTGTTTCTTTCATCTTTTAACTGTAATTAATGGGAAACCCTGTAAAGCACTGAAATAGAAAAATATCTTGTAATCATTTATTGCAATACATTACACAGCAGTACTGCCTTTACCATTGAGAACTACATGTACATATATATATTATAATTTGTCAATAATTTCAAATCAAAGGTTTGTTCTGAAAAATATGTCTGTAATTTCTCTTTTTTTGTTCAGGCAGCTATTAAAGACTGAGCTGGGCTCATTCTTTACAGAGTATCTTCAGGTGAGATTTGTTCTGATGTGTCATATGTTTGTTAATTGTAAATAAATTAATTTTTTTCATTTTTTCATTATCAGAATCAACTTTTAACTAAAGGCATGGTCATTTTACGGGACAAAATAAGGTTTTACGAAGGTATTTCTTCAATTTTAAAAACGACACATTCTGGTACACTTGTACATTTTATTTATGCCCTGTATACAGAATTATACAGTGTTGCACAAACAATGCAGACACCTTTTTGTTTTTCTGGCTGAAATAGGTCAGAAGTTACTGGACTCTTTGGCTGAGACGTGGGACTTTTTCTTTTGTGATGTTCTCACCATGCTTCAAGCCATCTTTCACCCCGTCCAGGTACAGTCCAGTCATACAGTGAAATAAGCTGATAGGCAGCAGGTACAGTAGGGATGTATCTGGAATTTTGACCAAACATTAACATCGTGGTATTTTTGGTTTAAATAAATGTAAAGTGAAAACCACCAATAGATCATAAAATATGCCATATGTCATATGGGGTCTTTACATGCTATCAAAAATGCTGAACTTCCCACCTCTGAAGTTGTAAATTCAACCCTCTATTGTTGTTGTTGAAGCATAAACCATATAAACATTTTACCAGAACTAGATCATCAAAAAAAGTTCCAGCATTAACCCTTTCATGCATACGATCACACTGGTGTGATCAATCTTGGCTGGTCCCTGAAGCATACAATCACACCGGTGTGATTAGAACGTTCAGAGTGCACTTCATCAACTACTAAAATTCAAATCGGACAGATGCGCACTGAGGCATAGAAATAGGTGCGCAGAGCTTGTTGTAAATAACAATTTTCCATGCTTTCAAACAAATAACATTTATTTTAGGTTTCAAATACACATAACCACAAGCAAAACATACCATTATAAGGTTTGTAAAATACACACGGATGTATTAGGAGATTGCAATAATAAATAATTTTTTAATATAACTAGACAATGTGCTTTGTTCACGTAGGATACACACTGTTTATGTTACTAGAATATTTTCTCTATTCCTCTCCCAGATTATGTCTAAATGGGATACAGCTGAGGCTACTCGAGTCAATATAGCATAACTTTTGGGACACTTTACAACAAATAATATTTTTACATTACCGTATGGGTTGAGGAAGGGGTAGACGGTAATAAAGTATAATTAATGCTTAATTTATTAAATAATATAAATGCTTGTTAACTTCCAAGCGCAGCTGTATCACGCTGGTGCCCATTACCCATTAGATAACAAATAATATGATCATTATTAAGCTGTTTAAAAGACAAACTATATGTTCAGTGACATTTTTGAGAATCAGAGTGTAAGAACTTTCATAATACAATCAGAAAATTTGTCAATATTTACAGAAAAGGGGAAAAAAGAAACAAAATATGTGATAAACTTGATGCGTCGCCATGGGAAATTTAGAAAGCAATGAATTCTAAGTAACAGTCACAAAAAAGGAGGGTCTGCTGGAGTATTTAAAACTCACGCGTGAAAGGGTTAAATATAACTTCAGAAGATGTTCATGTCCAGTTTCTCACTAATGCTGGGGTACCTAGAACTACCTCTAAATTAATGAGGAGCCCGGAGTCTCATCTCACGTTTAAAAGTAATAACAACAACAAAGACGAATGACCAAGGAAATAACGTAAAGTCAAATTTATTTGACATTTAATTTTCAAAAAGGAGACAATAAAAAGCTTGCAAAGGTAAATGCCAAAGTAACAAACAAAACTCAAAAGCTAAGTTTTTAACCCTCTTACCTGCACATGAAATTAAACAAATAAAATAACATTCACTTACATCCCTACTAACCACACAACATGAGGAAAATGTTATAAAACAAAAAGGCACCCTCCTCAGCACACGTGTCTCCGCATAGATCTCAAAGTCAACACTCAACATTTACTTTCAACAATTTAGCCTAGTAAATACAGCACAGTTTCTACTTCACAACACAAACCAGGAGAGAGGAGACTCTCTGAATAACGTTGAAACCTATTCTGAGACAGAGGCGGAGATAAAAGAACCACAAGCAATGCACACACCATAACAAACAAAAAACTCACTACTTAGGATATTTATTTATATTAATATTTTTGTATTTTTTTAAATTATTTAAAGAAAATACGTAACACACACGGTTAATGATTTGGTTTATTCAGTTTGACATTTGTTTTGCAAAGGGAGTGACATAGGCCCCGTTTACACTGTCAGATTTTTTTTTGCCTGTCCCCTTACACGTTCTTTTAATTGTGTTTACACTTGCCATACAATTAATGACATTGCACCTGCGTAAAGATGGGTTCTATCATCTGCGCCACACTAGCCACGATGAAAGAAATTGTCTTGCTTTTAGCACTGCGAAATATGCGAAGTTCACCCAACCAAGTGATTTTAAGGCGGAGGAGGAGGGAAAGGGCCGTCATAGCAGCTTGCACCTATGGTTTATATATGTGTCTCTGGTCTGGTGGGAGATAATTGTGGTAGGCTTTAATGAGGAGCAGTGGGTCCAAAATTTTAGGATGAGCACACACACGCTTCTCCTTCTACAAACAAACCTTGGAGAAATACCACATTGTCACACGTTTAATGACGTGCAAAACGGAATCCCTCAATAAATCTGATCTGCCAGTATACATGATAGTCGCATTGTCACATATCTGATTTATTTCCACATATGAAGGAGGCCTGAAACCAATCTCTAAATATCTGAATGCATGCTTTTTTTTCTTTTTTTTTTCCTGTCTACACAGTCATAGAACAGATCCAAACTGTGTCACATATGAGCAAAACATCAGAATTGGGTCATAAACAGGGCCATAGTGAATGATATCAAGCTCACATATTGTTAAAACAACGTATTAGCGTAAACTGAAAATCCATTATGACTGAATGTGTGTGTGATGTTAATGTTCAGGGGAAGGAGCCGTCTGTGCGTCAACTGGCCCTGCTGCACTTCCGAAACACCATCACCCTTAACATGAAGCTGGACGAGGCTCTGTCTAGACCACGAGCCCGGGTCCCGCCCTCCATCGTCCAGATGCTTCTGGTATTACAGGTATCAAAAAATTCCAGCCATTCTGTCACAAGCTACACCCAAAAATCATAGCATAGTCACTACAGGACCGGTCATTGCAGCACTCGCGTCATACTGAGTGAGACATTACTCATAAGCTTTGTGCATCTCAAGTTAAATGACTGTGATTATTGTTTTAGAAAAAAGGATGAAGTCAAAAATGTGTCATCTTTACATCTTCCAGGGGGTTCACGAGTCTAAAGGTGTGAGCGAAGAGTACCTGAAGCTGGAGTCTCTCCTTCAGAAGGTGGTGTCCCCGTATCTGGGCACACAAGGACTGTGTTCACACGAGTGTGGAGCTTCTCACTGCTCCTGCTTTATTGGTGAGAGAGGAACCGCATTTTGGACATACAATATAGCATATTATAGCATTGAAATTACATATATTGTTTTTTTTTTTTTTTTTTTTTTTTTTTGCTTTGGTAATATTAGTTTTTATCCAGTTAAAGCTGTTTTTTTATTTTTAAAAATATAAAAAATATATTTATTTACTTGAAGCCATGGTCATTTGCACGATTTTTGAATATAAAGTTCAAAAGGACAGTATTTATTCGTAGCAAAGATGAATACTTCATCATTTTAAGTCATTTTACTTCTTTGACCTCCCGAACACACACACTTAACATCTGTTCTTTTGATATTATTTTGGTTGTATTAGGTTTATATACTGAACAGCTTAAACAGCATAGTCAGAATTACATTACAATTAAATTGTTTCATGTAGAAGTGTGAACAGAGAGTAGAGAAACTCTTCTGGTCATGTGACATTAAAACAATTTATTTAAAAGTTGTTGTTTTTTTTTTTTCATTTTAAATTTCAACAACAACAACACTTTCAAAGCTTTTAAAACAGGGTTTCTGCAGGTTTCACCAAGTCAAAGACTTTTTAATACCTTTTTAAGACCCCAATGAGTACAATTTTAAACTTGGCTAAATACCAAGGATTTCTTCTAATGGCCCAGTTAGGCCAGTGGAGAAGATTTTTACTTGCCCCGTTAAAATATTCTAATGAATTATTTCTTGGCCACATATTTTTTATTATGTGTTAAAACAAGCTAACCTTGGTTTAAAATAGATTGATCTGTCCAGGTCAGTGTCCTCGTCACATATAGTCGATAAATACATGGAGAACTTAAACAAATGTTTTTGTAAGGAAGATAATTAAATTATGTTGGTAAATGGAGTCATAAAATACAGTTTTGTTAAGTTTTATTGAGATGGATAGTTGTGATTGGATTGGTGTAAGCCTTATTGGGTAACTTTACATAGCCATAGAAAACTTATGACCAGTTTAAAATGATTTAAGACCCACAGGTCAACATTTCAGCAAATTAAAGACTTTTTAAGGCCTAAAATGTAGTTTTTGAGATTTTGAAGACATTTTATAACTCCACGGACACCCTTTAAAATGTGCATTTCTTACTGTTAAATAACATGAGCTGTAAAAGAATAAAATTAGTATGATTAATCTCATGAATTCCAATCACAAAATTAAAAGGTACCAATACATAAGTGTGCAAAAAGTACCAATATGTAAAGGTTTTACAAAACAACAGATGAAGTACCACTTTAAACATCTTGCAAGAATTCATTTAACCATCAGAACTAAACTACTACAACTAAATGTAGAAAACAACTGTTTATCATTATTAACATCTTGCAACTCTTTCCAGAGCGGCGTTTGCAGTATTGCTGGTCCAAATCTGCAGATCTGCCGTCCACTAATCCAGTAGTTCGCTCCAAAAGTTACAACATCCCCATGCTGACACCCGTGGCGGAGTATGACTCTGAAGTGAGCTCAGTTGGGAGTGTGGGCATCCGGCGCCACTCAGCATGTGATGTCACTTCCTGTATAGAGCACCAGGGCTATTCGGCCCTATCTGTGGGAATAGAGACCAGCTCCACCCCCAGACTCTCACTCGATCACGACCTTATGATGCGAGGAGCCGCGGGACAACCCTCTCTTATATCTCCACCCGTGTTCATCCACACCTCCACTGGGTGTCTACACGCTCCCGACGCCCAGATTGCGTCATCCGAATCGGAAAAGGTGGTTTCGTCACCCCCGAGTTGCTCCTCCAGTCCGGAGACGATTGTAATGCAAGGACTGGATTCACTGGAATCGGATCCCGAAGGAATCTTCATTGATTTTTCCCACTGCCGCTCTGATTCTTTCGGAACGAGCAGGAAAACAAGCTGATTGTGATGATTCCATGATTATTATCTACCACTATTTTCTGTGAACTTGTGAAGTAGCTATGTTACGTGTTATTTTTTAAACTGGAGTTTTTATTCCAGCTTTGCGCAAAAACGACAAGGCTGCTTTAATGGGGAGAGGACTCGATTTAAAGTGATCTTTTTCATAACGTTCTAAAACCTGTGGATGAGTTTTTGACATTTTCTACATAGTTTTTTCATAGACGATAATAGATGTCGAATTTCTTCGTTAATTATTATTATTACGCAGTTTACTGTCTCTCACTTTGTGTTTTAATGCGCGGTTAGATTTACCTCTATTTGGTGAATTTTTGCGAGCAAAATATTATGTATTGAAATTAGAAATTTCACAAAAGATTTTGCAGTGTTGTAGGCTAGAATTGACCAGGTGTCCAATTTTTTTTTTCCCCAGAGGAGTCCTGTATTTCAGCTCTGTTTTTAGTGTCTAGACTTATTATGAAAAATCTAGTTTTGTCCCATATTTAATTCTTCATTGCTTAGCGCTAGTAGTAGTCATCGTCATCTAAAAACAGCCTATTTAATGGTAGTCAGTCATGTGATAGTATACTTTAAAGAACAAAAGTTGCAGTGTGTGAAGTTGCAGTTTCATCCATCGTCAGTAATGTCTCATTTCCAGTGAGCGGTGCGGTTCAGTACAGTACGTTATAGGTTGTGCCAGACAGAATCTGCAGACATTTTTGGCTATTTCTGCACAAAATTTTGTAAAAAATCTCCAGATTTATGTGGAATGAGTATTGCAACTAAAAACTTAATATATGAAATAAATAAAAAATAACTTTTCAACTTTTATTAAATGTTTGCAATGCAAATCCAATTAGATCCACTTATTAGGTAAACAAAGTCTCTCATATAATATATCTACTAAAAGACAGAAAATGTTACTATACAAACTGTATAGTAAATAAATCATAGGAACATTTTTATATTAGTCAATAATATTAGTGAAATTGATTTAAAAACTGAATAAATATAAATGAACACACATTTACTCAAGTAAATAAAAAGACTCAATAATTCCGTGTGGGCCTAGTTATGGGTCGCCCAGTACCTTTCCTCGACCCTTACTCAGTGAGTGTGATGTATGCCAGAAAGTTTCAATTCATTTCATTGTGATTATTTCACTAGCATCAAGAGGAAAGGCATTCTGGCCATATCGCGTCAAGTTCATGATTTCAAATATAGATGAGTACCAATCACACCCAAATAAAGAGAGGAAGCAGCGCGACTTACGCTTTCCAAACGTTGACATGCGACATTTCAACAGCCCCGTAAACAACAATAGAGGACATACAGCAGATCCTCTTCTTGCTTCTTAGCATGTGGCTGGTTGTCACAAGAAGTCGACTTTATTTGAGCTTGGATCAACCATGTTTAATTGCTGCTCGCTGGCATTGTATTATTACGGTATTGTGTTTTGGCTGCGTATTTAAAAATGCAGCTTCCTGTGTTGTGTTATTGGTTGTGTTGTAAACCAATAGCATTCAGCAGCGAATCTAGCTCCACCCTTTTGGTATTTTACTGTTGTGCTCGGAGCCCTTATGAAAGGGTCCCAAAGAAGTAGTATGGTACGCTATGTTATTACGTCTGACAGTAGAAGTAAAATAAATTAAACCATATTGTACTGTACCGCTCAATGGAAATTAAACATAACCGAGAGCATAGAGTCATCAGATGGAGAAGTGATTTGCTATAGTTATAGCTGGATAACATGAATAGATAATAGAAGGTATGTTGAAAGAAAACATACAATTTCCAGACATTTACCGTGTTTCATATAATGGATCACTCTGTGTTTAATAAAACACCTTAAAAAAACTACATTTAACTTTATATTTACCTGAGCGGAAAGTAAAATAACACAGACAATCTATGTCGTTTGTCACTCTATGGTGTCAAGATTATTATTATTTTACACAATATACAGGCATGACGCAATACACTCCTCATTGTGTTTGCATAAAAATGAGGCAGAGGTGGGACATAGACAGTTTGTCTGTCTTTTCAGAGAGTCACTTGAAGAAAACATAATTTACTCAAGGTGTTGTTTAGCATGTTCTTGATGACTACAGCCAGTTTCAAAGAATTAGTCCAAAACATCTTTAATTTTCAGTAATGTTTAACGACGCATCTTTTTTCCTTCTCTTTTGGCTTCTGTCCACATGGAGATGGCTGTTTTGTTTATGAATTCAGAGCTTTTCAAAAAATCTTTAAAATAACATCGTTTCCTGTTGGTGTAGACTGAAATCTGCGAAGCAGTCATGTGACCCATTCAATGTTGACGTTTTACTGCCATTGTTTTGGCTGCTTTTCAGTTTGATACCATTGTTAAATCTTCAGATTTCATTTCTTCAATTGGATCTGTAATTGCCGTGCAATTTTCATATTAATATGAATTAGTGTACACATAGCCATGGTTTCAAAGCAAAGCTATAAACCACGCAGCTACAATGACAACATAAAAAGGTGCACTTTCTCATATAGCTACTATGAAGTCTGTGGCTGCGTCCGAAACCACCTACTACTCAGTAGGTACTGCATTTAAATTTAAACATACTACTCGGCTGCTAGAAAAATATGTTCTTTACAGTATGAATGCGAGTAGGATGAAGGGAACTTAGATGTAATACATCCGACATTTTGTCACGATCATTTGACCTACCCATGTGAGTAGCGTCGCTTCACTCCCATTCATGAATTTTCTCGCAGCGCATCATCGGATAGTGTAGCGTGCATCGGATGCACACTTCAGAATCTCACTGGAAGTAGTAGGTCATCCTGGGTACTTCTCGCAGACTGATTTTCGAATTTTTTGAATTCGGACATCCTACTCCGCTCGCATTTTTTTTTTTTTTTTTTTTTGCGTACTATTTATTATGGAAGTATTCGATTTTGGACTAAGTTAATGACTACAGTTTTACCACTCTTTGTTGTGTGCTGCAACCTACAGGAAAACTAGTAATGTTAATAAATACATTTTGAAAATTTTTGAGACAAGATAGGCTAGTGCACTTCAGACTGCAGCTATTCTGACAATTTAACTCTATGTAGCGTAATTTGCTGTGTGTTAATTAAAATTAAACATTTTGGTCTAAAAGTGACTCGCAAGAATTCACCAATTTGATCGCACTTTAAGTGAGCTTAACGTAACGTAATGTGCGAAGGCGACAGAATCACTAAAAGTAGAAATATTGCTTCCATTTTTGTCGCTCTTGTGCACTATTTATTATCATAGGGCTTTAAACGAACTACATTTAGTGCTTTAAATGATTGGCAATCTGAGCTGCACTCTTAATGGTATGAAATGAAATGATTCTCTTTAAGTTGCGCTAAGGATAATACAGTGCAGAACATTGTACTTTTTGAATATGTTGTCTGGCTTTCATGCTTTTTATGTGGTGATAATGAGCTGCCAGTGAGTGAACAGGGTTTGATAATTGAATGTGTTAACAAAAATTCCCTTTTAGTTAATTAGTCGATAATATAGCTTAAATAGAAAGAGGCTATGTTAGATGTAACTGGAATACGAAAGTTGGCTTACTGGCAATAAAAAGATTTTTTATAATGTGATTTTTATATCAAATGGTGTAATTTAAAAATATTCTTTTTAAATTTAGCACATAATTTAATGGGCTTAATTGAAAAATGTTTATTTAAGAAAATGAAATTGAAAGCGTAAAAATCCAATGGTGTAAAAACTGTAAGGTACTTTAAAGAGTTTTTTTTTTTTGTGATTTTTGTTTGTTATTACTATGTATGAAATCTTTTTAACTTGGGTTATAAATTGATCAGTTTCTCTGTAGTTTTATAGGAGTAATTTGAGCATATCTTGCATAGATTTTTAAACGAGCAACATTTTTAGACATCTAAAACGTTTACAGTGGTACTTTAATACCTTGCACTGTCATTTATGAAGTCTGTACTTTGTTTCATACTGAATTTGTTATCAGCTTTCATGTGTGCTGCTGTGGACAACCTCAACAAAATCGAATTTGTAGTAAAATACTTTTATGCTTCATGTTTACGAGTGTTTCAAAGTACAAAAGGGAACTTGTGTGAACGGCTACGTTTTAAAATGGTTTGGCGATTCTGTGCTTGATAGAGTTGAAAGTAATTTTCATTGATAACCAGGGTGCGGATTACATGGGGGTTTAGCGGTGGGGTGGGGGGTCTGACCCCCGCTAATTACCGCTTGATCACATCTACATATGTCTTAAAAGCAAAGTAAAATTAGATTTATTTGACCTACAGTATCCTCAATAGCTAATCGGAGGTGACTGTAGAACAGAATACACTAAATTTATAAATCACTGAAAAATTTATTAGGTTTTATTATTATATTAGATGTTATTTAAAAATACATTTTTATGACGCATATGTTTTACAGAAACCAACACAAACTTACGGAAAAGGTTGACCCCCCCTATCTATGTATAATTTGCATCTTGTTGATAACAATTTCTTATAGATAAACAGGTTTACATTTGAAGGAACCAAGAAAAACAACCTTCAATTTATTATTTTTGGTCGATAACGTTTGTTGTGACCTCCTGAGGCAGAAGCAAGATTCAATTCCTGAGTCGATTTGTTCTTTTGAACCGAACATTTTCTTCAAAATCCAGCAGAAGGGCTTTAGAAAATGATTCTTTCGAGAATCATGTGAATGCGATACTGGAATCTATTGACTCGCCGACTCACTGAACCCATTTGTTTAGCATTTGGTTTGACCCCTCAATGGGTTCGATCGATGTAAGAACGTTTAATACCCTAAATATCAGAATATTTATAAACAGTAACTTCTTACAAATGTATATTTACCACCTAACTGTTTACTTAACTAACAAAACTGATTTATTTTAGGTAATACGCCTAACATTACCACATGGCGACCATGAAATGTATTGTTTCATGTACGTTAAATTCAAATGAATTCTACAATTTTTACAATTTTTGGGGAAATACAGAAGTTTGGAAATAAGAATTTTTAAATGAAATTGGAAAAGTCAACCCAAAACACTTTACAGTAAGTACACTCCCAAAATAAATGGTTTAGAGTTTCATCATATTGAGTACAAAATAAGCATTTAGGGGAAATATTGTTATTAAATTTAGCTAGTTTGGTATTTATTGGATAGCAATCTCCTCATCACCAGACCGCACATCACAGAGAGAGAAGAAAGAGTAATGAAGCCAATTATGATATGGGGATGGTTAGGAGGCCATGATGGACAGAGGCCAGTGGGTAAATTTGGGCAGGATGCCGGGGTTAAACCCGTACTCTTTTTCGAAAGACATTCTGGGATTTTAGGGTATATGCTAAAGCATGCTAATAGGACTTTTAATTTGCCAGTAACCTGGCTAGCGCATACGCTCCATTAAAAATACTGGGGTAAAATAAATGCTCATATTATAAAGATATGGCGGGGAAAATGTAATTTAATGCAGTGCTTCTAGTACAATCTGAGAACCACTTCATATCGGATATCACTCAGCCAGTGGAGATCGCAGATTTTTAAAGAAAACAGACCTTAAACGTGCAGACTTTTCCATTGACATACAGTTCGCCGGAAGCGCTTAACCCTGCCGATTCAGACGGGCGAGTGTGAGTAAAAGGCCTTTTGTCTCGTTTTGCGCTTGAATAACGTAATGAATGCCAACGTTTATTTAACTGAATGTATTTTAATTACATTACAACATGAATGCTGTAAAAGGAACCGTATAAAATGGAAAAAACTCACAATAACCGGTCACCGGAAGTTTATAAGTATATGGGAACAACACTAGCTCGGCATATACCCAATTATATTCATCTGTCTCCATATTCCACTGCATCCCAAAATATTACACAGCACCAAAAATGTTAAAAATATATATATTGAATGTATTTAATATATTTTTGTGTACGTCAGACAGCAACTCGCCGTGACGCAGATTCCAGAGTCTGTGTGCTCCAATCAGGTGAGCCCTCTTCAGCGCTTGCCATGACAACGAGATAGCAGTGACCTGCCTTGTAAAAATTTGCATCTGCATTCCTATAAAGCTCATGTGCTCTCTGTCAGCGTTTTCAGTTCGCTCGTGTTGCTGTTTGTACTTGACCAAGGTGAGTTCAATACCGACGGTACGAGTGGAGCCACGCCGATCTCACGAAGTCCGCTTCGTGAAGCTTCACTCGGGCCCGTCTGTGCTGTAGTTCCTTGTGGTTTGCGTACATAAACGTAACATCGCAAGGAATATTACGTGTTTGTTGCTCGAAATGTGCCGCCGAGCAACATCCAGTGAATACTGGCACGGCCTGGCGCCCGATCTTCTTGTGCACTCCCTGGGGCGAGGCGGCCTTTGAGCCCTAGGCAGGGAACAAACAACCCCCGAGGACCCTCAGGGAAACACGGGCGGCCGGTAGTGGGACCTCGCTGCGAGGGTTATGGTGGGTGGGAGTAGCGAGGCCCACTCATCGTCTATTTTAAACTATAGTTTCAAACTTTAGTTTACTATAGTTTGAAATAGACACCATGGTAACTGTTATGATTTAAATTTATGCAAAGAGCTTAGAATGACCAAGAGCAACAGCCACGGATTCCGCCATTTTGAAGTAAAGTCGATCGGCTGTTAATTGGATCTCATTGCTGTCGCGATGGAAAGCAGCTGCTTAGTTTTTATTTAATTTATTCAAAAAGCGCGTTATTGTTTCCCAAATTGTAGAGTGTCGCCTCTTGGTGATTCTATGCTCTTTGCTCTTTGTCTGACTGTTGTAATGTTTTGCTTTGTTTTTCAGCTAAGCTGTTGAGCAAAGAAGGACTATTGAAGACAACAGTTAAAGACAACCGTGGGTTATATTCACGAGCGCGCGCGTTATAATGTTTCCGGGTTGTTTTCTGAAAGTTTGTCTTGTTTGCATGTCAAACTAAATAAACTATACTCTTTCTAAACACCTGTCTCATGTTTTATTTGTCCTCTACAGCAGGGGTTCCCAAACTTTTCAGCCCGCGACCCCAAAAATAATCATATTAGTGGCACGCGACCCCCGATTTTTCAAGGTGGTTGTAATGTAAATATGTAAACGTTGCAGACACAACTATAGGCAAATATAAACATGAGCTTATTGACAACACAAAAATGCAGCAATCTATTAGCCATATAATGTTTTTTAAAGTCATTTATGGATTTAATTACATTTTGCTTTTAAAATTAAAGGCTGATGGCTGATTGTTATTTTTATGTTGTTGTTTCTTTAATGCAACTATTAACTATATTCTGTCGGTTATGAATAAAATATGGTAATTCTAATAGTTTAATAAAATTTATTTGAGTTTTGGATATCACCAAGCGACCCCTTGTCATTGTCCCGCGACCCCCCAGGGGGTCCCGACCCCCACTTTGAGAACCACTGCTCTACAGCAATGCACTGTCATGTAAGCCTGTTGAATGCATTTGTATGCAACATGGTTTGACACTACAGTAGTCTAACAAATAAATGGTTGTTATAAATGTACCTTCATTAGTCAACATTTGGTGTAGGTAATAAAAAGTTAATCAAAGATGTCCTAAGACATAAGGGGTTATGGTTGTTTCATAACTATACTTAATATTATTCTGTATGATTAAAACCAGCAAATTATGCTAAATATTTAACATGTCATGAACTTACTGTTTTTTTTTAATTTGCTTAATAAAATGTCCTAAGACAAGAATGGGTGTTGTTTTGGTTTTATGGCAACCTACATTAGGATTAAGGTTGACTACAGCAGGTATAGGCTACATACATCATAGGGAGTTTTTTTAATGACCCAAATCAAGTAAAACGTCTCTTACTCAAGTACTTTTAGCATGCAAAAGTCACATTTAGTATATAAAATACAGTTTCCAACAACAAAATTTTGTCTTGTAAAAAAGACCAGTGTGGTGGTGAGAAAAAAAAAGTAATATTAAGTTATATATATTTATAAAAGAAGTTGAACAAGTTGTCACAATATTTAGTCATTCGATTATGTGACCGCTAGATGGCGCTCAATTAAAAGGAGCGCTACCCTGTACTAAAATGGCGGCTCTATTGACGCATTCCTTCCAATAGACAACATCAGGGTAGGCGACATCCAATGTATATTTCTATGGGAGCTAACTAGTATTCAAGTCATATCATGCTCAACTCTTATTATTCTTTTACGCTCTTTGAGAGTCTTGGCGGGATTTCAGAATGATATTTAGGCAACTATGAAATAGCAGTACCGTCTGCATTACCATCGTTAATAAATTTCGTAATAGCGAAACTGCATATTGTTATTACTATTAAAACGTATAGCCTATATTACTGCCTTAGGTCAGTAACTTAGGCAGTAATGCAAAGTAATAATAAATGTGAATAAATAGCCTAAATGAAAGAAACAAGAGACCAAAATCAGTCATCAGGTCTAGTGCCCCCCTATGGATTTAAAGTGCCCCCTCAGTTTTGACTTCCTGGCGCCGGGCCTGGTTCTGTTTTATAAGCTGAATGTTTAGATTTTGACATTTAACGTTAGCTCAAAGTATATTTAATAATAGGGCCTACACTATCACATGCTTTATATAAATACGTATTTACGACCTAATTCTACATATAACAAAAATATTTTGTTTTTAATACAAACGAATAAAATATATTATAATTAATACATTATTATGTTACTGTTTTTATGAAATATTGTAAATATTTTTCTTTTTAACAAAATACTTTCTTTGACTAATTAAATAGCATTAAACGACGTGCCTTGGAACCTTACGTACGTAACTATACGTCAAGACATAAAGATTCACTCCGTTTTGAACTGTTCAAAAGAACCGATTCGCGAAAATGAGTCGGACATCCCATCCTTTAAAGAGGGGTTGTTGTTTTTTTTAAATAATCAGAATTGAAATTCAGTTTACCAAATATAACGCTCGACATTTTTTTAATCATAAATGATTCCTTTTAGTATATATTTCGAACCTTTTGAACAAAAACACACGACTTTTTCCATACAATAACATCACGCTTGTGAACAGTCA